TTTGACTGGATTTTACAAAATGTTGTTCGATAATTCTTTTTTTAATTATTTAATTTTTTGTAATAAAAAGGCGAATGGCCAAGAAACTATTAATTTGATTTACAACTAGAACAACTTGAACATTTTTTTAAGAAAAATTGGAAAAACCCTGTATATGTATGAAATAAACTACAAACAAAGCAATTCCTTTTTTCTTAAAACAATATATTTTTTTACTAAACGCCTATAAACGGAATTATAGTTGTACCACGTTAGCCTTGTAATTGATCTTCAATTCAAATATCTTCTTCCAACAATGTATTCCTTTCAAACAGTTGATTTCCTTATGTTTCATTTACTAAAATAGAGAATAGAGCATGGCACAATGAATAGGTAGTCCATTTAGAACAGCTGATGCCTAGATTAACTGTCAAAGTGGGTAATTTCTACTTGAATTCGATGTGAAGTGTTGCCAATCATTTGAAATATTATATGGAAAATTTTGACAGATAATCGAGACAAAAACAAAGTTGTTTGTTTTGATACATCACGATTTTATTGCATCATGGAATAGTGTAAAAACACATATAACTTATCGTTTTGAAACATTGCAATTTTCGTATGTTTCACACTAGGAGTTCGATTTCTATATGTAAATAAAACGACAGTACATATGTAAAAAAAACCCCTAAGTGTGGTTTTATATTTGTCGGGATCGGGATCGGTGTTGAGAGTTTCTCTCTCTTGAGAGAGTAATTAGAGTTGCGCTATTTTTAATTTTGTAACAAGCGTACTTTTTGTTCACAAAAAGTACGAATTGACATAAACGTACCAAAACAAAAATTAGATTTTTTATTATTCGTGAATACATTTAAATTATAACATATAATATTTATGCAAATAACTGGTATAAATATTGGCCAATATTTCTCGATAATTATGATTTATTATCATTTGAAGTAGAATTTTTGGAACCTTTTCGCACTTTTTTGTTCCTACCTGTGGTAATGTTTTCCAACACAATTCACAATTGACCACTGAGAGAGAGAAACTCTCAACACCGATCCCGATCCCGACAAATATAAAACCACACTAAGTAAAAAACATATTGTGTAACTGCACCTTAAGTGGTGTCCATCACACCTCATTCGTACATTTTCAGTTTCGTCTTTCCGCATTGAGTTCCTTCTTTATCGGGTACTCTTTCTTTGCAATCACTCATTCATCTCGTAATATTTAATTTAATCGATACATTTTACAAGATGTATTTTCTCTTTGTCGCTAAAATATATCCTTTTTGGTGGTAAGTGTAATACAAATAGCAATGACAAATTCGGTCCAATAGACCTCTTTTTTGGTATTTGGTACTTGAAAAGACCCAGATTGAAAGTAATCACGTTCCACAGCTGATTATTGTGAGTGGTTACTTGGTAGCACAAATTTGCTCGGCGCAGATTTCTACTGCTCGCATTAGTCCAGTTTTTACATTAAAAGAGGCAATTGAGGAACAATAGGAAATAAAAAAATTCATATAAGCAAGCCAACTAATAAAATATTATTGTTTTTGTTGGTATCATTTCCAAAACACATTCGGTTCCGTCATTTGTGTCGTTTTTCCTATTGTTTATATTTCTTTGGTTCTCATTTTCTGTGTGTGTGAAAAATCGAAGTCTCGTTTGTTACGCTGCGCGTCTGTGACAAATAAAATTGTAAAATTACAAAGAAATGCAACATTCTGCAAGTCGAAGTATTCTTAATACTGCTGAAACAAGATTTCCGTGTTTGTAATTTAATAAATAATCTACAATACATAAACTGGGAGTGAAAAATCCTGTGGGTGTAGATTTTTCGCAACAGAACCAAGGCAAAACAGCATTTTTTTAGAGTCTATTTGGATTCCAAAAAGACAAAAAAAAAAAAAAACAAGAGTTGAAGTTTATAGTGTGTGTGTGCGTAAATATAAAACGGTAAGTCGACGTCATTTTGTTTTTCATTTGCAAATGCACTATTTTAAAGGTTGTGGTTGGATGATGACGAACGATTGCTCACATACCATATTTAATGGATGTTAGTAATGCGTGTATGTTTATTAATTTATTAACAAAAAAAAAAAAAACAAAAACATTGTTTGCAGAGGAAGACTGTCAACATTTGTCATAAGCTTTGGTTGGTCGTAATTGCCAAACAACAACAGCTTTTTTCCGTTAAATTTCGATACTTGTTTGGTGTGTGTGTGTTTTTTTTTATCTGGAGAGAGTAAAAGAGAATTGAAGAGCGCAACAAATCCATCCCCAAAATAAAGTTTCTCGGCCACACACCGAAACTAGATGCCGTCAAACTCGTGTTTGTTTGTTTTTTAGCGAGAATGCACACGTACGTAGAGTTGGCTCAAAAAGGCAAATACAGTCAACGCCCGGTATAACGCATATATGTTGTCAGGCACATTCGTTATATTGAAAAATTCATTATATCGCGTTCCAATTTATATAAAAGAAAATAAAAACATAACTGGTAATTCATATTTCAATGGATTTCTAAGTAAAAATATAATAATTAACATAATAACAATAATGACAACTTGTTTATATATTTTTTGATAAGACAGATATATTGTTTTTACACCTCTCGTTATACCCAGTACACAGATTTGTAGAGGTAAAAAGTGGATCATTTTGCTCAATCGTTATATCTCGAATTAGTTAAACTGAGTGGCGTTATACCGGGCGCTGACTGTATGAGTTTTGCAGTGCCTTGTCAATATTGACGTTTCATAGAATCTTATTGGATTTTTTCAATTAGCACAATAATTCGGAGTACACACTATCTATTTGGATTACAGTTTGGTCCAAATGTCGCCTGGTTGTTAGTGTGGCCATTCATGACAGTCATCCATCAGGCATCCACGGAAGTATTCATGGTTGATTTACATTCAGTAAATGATACAAATCTGACAGTCCAAAAATGATGTGTTTACCCACCATAAGACAAAGTGAGATACAATTAGGCATTTGTACAGGGTGGTTATCCATTCGTGGTTTCAAGGATTGATTCTTTTCATGTAATTTGTGACGCATATTGGGCGGTATCTCAGATATTTTTAAGTGCTCAAGAGTTAAAGTTCCATTAGCATAAATACGCTCTTTTGCGTAGCCCCATAAAAGTCTAATGATGCCAAATGGTATAATCTTGTTGGCCAGTTGATCTCGTTACGATGAGAAATTACGCGGCTACATTTCCTGGCCTTGCAGTGGGTTTTCATATGATCCTAACGTTCCATCGTCGTTTTTGAAATGTAAGATCTATTCTCATCTTTGGACCAAAGAACGCACCGAACAGTGATTTTTTTCTGGATATAATGTAAACAATACACAAACATACTAAAATGTAAATATTGATTTGATAGACCAAGTCACCTTCAGAAGAAATTGGTAGCTATACCCTACCTTGTAATAAATAACCCTGGGTAACAACGTAGTTCGCTCTCAGAATTATGTTCATCAATTAACCCTATTCTTAATTAATGTGTTTATTTTTCAAACTTGTTGTGACTTTTTTACACTAAAATTTAAAGAATCAATAGATATTCACTTTTAAGTCATTTTTTTCTATGTTTCCTGAAACGAATGAGAGATCGAAGAACGATCGTCTTACATGGCATTACACATATAACTGGTAATGGCTCAATTAAAGGGATATAGAAATTCATATTATTTATTGGCCTGTTCCAGAACCTGCGAGAATGTACTCCCCGATGCAATAAAAATTTGTTGAATTAATTTGTATTAAAGTTGAGTAAATTGACAATTAGATAAAATAGTGTTTTTTTTTTTTTTTTTGTCAATAGCCGGAATTTTTTCAATTGTCGGCATGACATGTTCCAAAAGTCGGCATGTCGAATTTTAGTTTGAAAAAAAATTATATATTTTATTGTTTTTTCTGTTATTGTCATTGATACATTATTAATATCGGACGTTTCCATCATTGTTGTATAAATAAAGTTACTTACTTAGCTGGCTTGTTACAGAACAGTTGTTCCATAAGCCGAGCTTAAAAAAGATTTCCAAATGATCGGTCTTGTGCGCAAATCCACCAATTTGGAAGACCACGTTCCAAAATTATATAAAATAATTTTCTTTATTAAAATATTATAATTATAAAACATGGTACCTCTTAGCCAATTACCGTCATGGCTAATTACGCATTCCAGAGGTTTAAAGAATTTAAGATTAAAATCATGTATTTAGTCTTGGTTTGGTCACCGTTTGAGGTGCTTCACGGTTCTTGACCACGATCTTTTTCGCCCAGGGTTATCGTATGTGATCCATTTCTTTTGGGAAAAAGATACAAATATGTCAAATGAACAGAACGACTTGTTGCATTTGTTTTTATTTATTCTGGCATTATAGACCACAAGTAGAGGTGTATTTTCTCCTTGTTGACAAAAGATACCCTACCTTGTATAATTGTACCATGGCATTGCTGCATTTGCTGTACAAATAGTCGTCATTTTTTTTTTTTTTTTTTTTGCTTAGCCAAACCAAACATTTTCTTTTAAATTTCATCGACTGGTGGTGGGAAATGCGAAGGAATGACATGGAATTGTATGTACTGGCTATTTTGAGTTTGTCAACCAAAAGGAACCATGCCATGTTTAAAAATAAACGTATTTCCCAGTGGGTTTTTCGATGACAAAGCTAAATAAAGAAAGAAAAACTATCGAAAAGACTTGTGTTTAAAGAGTATTGGCTCTTGGCAGTTGAATGATTTGGGAGTATACTTTCCCAGAATTAAATGAAGCATACGATGATTGCGATTTTTGGAAGCAATATAAATTAATTTTATGCATCATTGAGGATTAAATTTGGTATTATTGTTATTTTATATGAGATATGTTAATTTTTAATTTTGAATGACACTATTGTGACAAATTTCCGTGCGACCTTTAACCGAATTAACCATTGTTATTTTTATGCATTAACAGAACGAAGTAAACCACTGCACATTTGAATTTTGGACGTTATATAGAAAACTCGTTGAGCGAGATGGCAGAGGATACTGAATATAAGAAGCTTCCGGTTGATGAACGTTGTGTTCATAAACTTTGGAAGGCTCGAGTTGATGGATACGAAGAAGCTGCAAAAATTTTCCGGGAAATCGACGACGAAAAGTCTCCCGAGTGGATGAAGTTTGTTGGTCTGATTAAGAAAATGGTTGTTGACTCCAATGCCATGGCCCAGGAGAAGGGTTTAGAGGCTGCTTTAATTTTTGTAGAAAACTGCGGTCATGCTGGCAAGACGGTTGGCGATGTTATGTCTGGCATTGTGCAGAAATGCATAGCCGCACCAAAGACTAAGACAAAGGAACTATCGGTTCAAGTTACCCTCATGTACATCGAAATTGAGAAGCATGAAGCTGTTCTAGAGGAACTGGTAAAGGGAATGGAACATAAGAATCCAAAGATCGTAGCAGCTTGTGTAGCTTGCACAACGCTAGCATTAAAGGAGTTCGGCAGTAAAGTGATCAGTGTAAAACCTCTTATTAAGAAACTGGCGCCTTTAATGAGTGACCGTGACAAAACTGTACGTGAGGAAGGAAAACAGTTGGCCATTGAAATATACAGGTATTTTAATTATATACAAACAATTCAAATAAACAACCATAATAAAACCTTCTGATTTAGGTGGATTGGCCCTGCTATGAAACAACAAATTTCGTCCCTTCCGCAGGTGACAATCAAAGAATTGGAGGATGAGTTTGACAAACTGAAAGGAGAAAAGGCTGAACCTTCGCGCTATTTGAAGTCACAACAGGAAAAACAACAACAAATATCAGCAGCTGCAGCAGAAAATAATGACAATGGAAACGGTAAGAACTAGGGAATTAAATAATTTAGTTAGCAATACTTAAATTAGTTTGTTGACCTGTCCAGATGATGATGTTGATGCCGGCGGCGAGGAAATAGATCCAATGGATCTCATAGACCCGGTTGATATACTGTCCAAAATGCCCAAAGATTTTTATGAAAAACTAGAAGAGAAGAAATGGACGTTGCGCAAAGAATCATTGGAAGCTCTTGAGAAACTTCTGACGGAGAATCCTAAACTCGAAAGCGGTGACTATGGATCAGTGGTGACGGCGCTAAAGAAAGTAATCACTAAGGATTCCAATGTGGTATTGGTAGCCATGGCTACCAAATGTCTAGCCATGCTAGCCAAGGGATTGGGAAAACGATTTTCGCCTTATGCGATGGTATGTGTCTCTCTGTCATTATTCTGAATTGTTGTTTCATAGTTGGTTTACTAATTTATAGGCTTGCATACCATCACTATTGGAGAAATTTAAGGAGAAAAAAGCAAATGTTGTTACTGCTCTTCGTGAGGCAATGGATGCTATTTATCCTTCGACAAATTTAGAAGCTATGCAGGAACATATTGTAGAATCATTGGGAAATAAAAACCCCAGCGTAAAGTCGGAAACGGCTGCATTTTTGGCCAGAGCGTTTGCAAGAACGCAGCCTGCTTCTATTAATAAGAAAATGCTGAAACTGTTTATATCGACTTTAATAAAAACACTAAACGAATCTGATCCAACTGTAAGAGATTGCTCCGCGGATGCCATTGGAACTCTTTTAAAACTGATGGGAGAAAAGCAGGTTGGACCATTCTTGGTTGATGTTGACGCACTAAAAATGGCGAAAATTAAGGAGTGCCAAGAAAAAGCCGAAATCAAAGTGAAAATAGCTGGAGCTAAAAAGGAGAGGCCAGCATCGGCCCCTACGCCAGCTCCCCCAACCAAGTCATCGGCTTCAACGACAACCTCCGCTCCCAAGGGCGGGTCTACCGAACCGAAGCCTGTAAGCAGACCTGCAACTGCTGGAGCTAAAAAGCCAGCACCAAAAAAGACTAGCGCAAGTGGCGGGACGGGAGGAGCTCCTTTGTCAAAGAGTGCAAGTGCCGTTAAAGTATTAGCCACGGAACGGGAGATGGCACCCGAAGAAATTCAAGGTAAAGCAGAAGAACTTTTATCCCCTGCAATTCTTTCGGGATTGATCGATTCGAATTGGAAAAATAGATTGGCGGCAGTGGAAAGTTTGTTGCAAGAGATACCAGGTTTCGATAGCAAAACACCTGGTTTATCTCAGGTATTAATTAGAACTATAAGCGGACGTAAACCCGGTCTAAAAGAAATGAATTTCCAAGTATTGAAATTCAAATTGGACATTATACGCACGATTTCGGAGACGTGCCCTGTTACTACAACCACAATAGACGTTGTGGTCAATGAAATAACTGAGAAGCTGGCGGATGTCAAAAATGGAGGTGCTGCAGCGGATGTCTTGACAGCTTTTGCCGAAGCCACCAAGCTCGAGTACGTTGTGGGCAAAGTGCTGTCGTTTGCGTTCGAACAAAAGTCTCCCAAAGTTCAATCAGAGGCTATTAACTGGGTGAATAAGTCTGTTCTAGAGTTTGGATTCCAGATACAACCAAAACTACTCATCGAAGATGTCCGAAAAGCTGTACAAAGCACCAATCCTACTGTAAGAACAGCTGCAATTGGTCTAGTCGGAACCATGTCCATGTATATGGGAAATGCCCTGATGATGTTTTTCGATGGAGAAAAGCCGGCGCTTAAGTCTCAAATACAGGCGGAGTTTGACAAGAATGTTGGAGAGAAGCCGCCAAAACCAATTAGAGGGGTAAAGAAATCCGCTACAAGTGGTTCTACAACAGGCGATGGTGATGCAGATGCCGATACATGTGCAGACGAAGAAGAAGATCAAGAACCAATGAACATAGCAGATTTGTTGCCCAGAGTAGATATTTCTCCCCAAATAACAGAATCTTTGTTAAAGGAAATGTCCGACAAAGATTGGAAAGCAAGGAATGAAGGCCTCAACAAACTTCAAAGCATAATAAGTGAGGCAAAACTGATAAAACCCAATATTGGTGATCTGGCGCCTGCTTTAGCGTTGCGTTTGTTAGATTCGAATGCTAAAATAGCTCAAACTGCGTTGGCAATTTGTGAGCAATTGGCCAATGCAATGGGACCAGGTTGTAAGAACCACGTTAGAGTACTTTTTCCAGGTTTTTTGCATGCCTTGGGGGACAGCAAGAGTTTCGTCCGAGCAGCAGCACTTAATTGCATAAATAGTTTCGGGGAAAAAGGCGGTTACAAAGAGTTCTTCGAAAATGAAATGATTGCTGATGCATTAAAAACGGGATCGCCAACACTGAAATCGGAGTTGTGGGCTTGGTTGGCTGAGAGACTACCCCAAATGCCGCCCAAGAGTATTCCAAAAGATGAACTTACAGCTATGGTTCCCCACTTGTATGCCCACATATGTGATCGTAATGCCGACGTTCGTAAGAACTCTAACGAAGCTGTTCTGGGTGTAATGATTCATCTGGGATTCGAAACTATGGTTAAGGCATTGGACAAACAAAAACCTGCTTCCAAGAAAGACATACAGGCGGCGTTAGATAAGGCCAGACCTAATCTGCCCGTGAAGCCCTTGCCAAAAGGTAAGCAGCAAGCGCCTATTATAGAAGATACTAAAAAGTCTATACGCGGTGGTGGCGGTACAGGAGCCGCTTCTGCTGGGACCCAAAAAGGTCCGGCAAGTAAGATCGCAGCAGCTTCAAAAAGTGGCAGTTCATCGACGTCTCGAAAAAAGGAAGAAGATGTTGATACGTCCCCCCTATTGGCCGTCAATAATACTAAAAATCAACGACTCATTGACGAGCAAAAAATGCGTGTACTTAAGTGGACATTTACAACGCCCAGAGAGGAGTTCATCGACTTGTTGCGAGAACAAATGACAACGGCTAATGTCAACAAGGGGCTAATGGCTAACATGTTCCACGACGACTTTAGGTATTATATTCTAATATTATTTATACTTTATAACAGCACTAAGAGAGGTTTTCTCTTTCCTTCCAAAGATACCACTTGAAAGTTATAGAATCGCTTATGGAAGATTTGCCCCAAAATCCGAAGGCTCTGATTTGTAACTTGGATTTAATTCTAAAGTGGCTTTCTTTACGCTTTTATGATACCAACCCTTCAGTGTTGATAAAGGGCCTTGAGTATCTACAACAAGTGTTTTTGGCGTTAGTTGAACACGAGTACATTTTGGCGGAGAATGAGGGCAGCTCTTTTATTCCCCACTTGTTATTAAAGGTACGACAACTCGATCAAGGATTGTGTTATCCTTTGAAATTCACTAATTTAAAAACTACCTACAATTTAAGCTCGGCGACCCGAAAGACGCTGTGCGTAATGGAGTGCGATCTTTGCTGAGGCAAATACTACTGGTTTATCCATTTGCCAAAGTATTTGTCTATGTGATGGAAGGTCTAAAGTCAAAGAATGCTCGCCAACGCACGGAATGCCTGGATGAATTGGGCTACTTAATTGAAACCTACGGTTTAACAGTATGCCAGCCATCGCAACAAGTGGCACTAAAAGAAATCGCCCGTCATATATCGGATCGCGACAACAGTGTACGCAATGCAGCCCTCAACTGCGTAGTTCAGGCTTACTTCTTAGCTGGAGAAAAGATATACAAACTCATCGGCCAAATGAACGACAAGGATTTGTCTATGCTAGATGAGCGTATTAAACGAGCCAAAAAACCCCAGAAGAAAGCTCCCGAGGCAAATACCACTGTAAAGGCAGCCAACCAAATAGTCCAACAAGACAGCATTGAAATTGACGATCCCTCGGCAAACGGCTGTGAGGAATTGCCGCCACCAGAGGAGCACAATCAAAGGTGAGACTGTTGTTACAGTGGCCCTGTCAAAAATGAACGGTATCCTGTACAAGTCGCGACCGCGCGACCTATTGTGAATACTTTCTAATCTTGCTCGCCAATATTGCAATTTTGTTTTCATAACCTTTTTTAATTTTTTGCTTTAGTTCTGATTACGAAGCGAATGATGCTAATAATTGCTCGTTGGGAGAGAAAGATGTGCGCGTAACATCACTCATACGTCAAGCGTAAATTTCAGTTTTGTTTTTAGTTTGTTTGTACCTGTTTCTGTCCACACGTTTCGTCTCTTTTGTGTATACTTATGTATATCGTATTATTAGTATATTATTGCAATTAGTTTGTCTCGTTGAAATCATTTATAGTTCAAAATAATTTATCTTTATCTGTCGAATGATATTATTTTCTGACAAAAAAATATTAATTTATTTGTGTTCAACACCACCCCAAGACCAATATCGACACCATTAGGTTTTACCGAGAAAATGATAACAGTTCAAGCATTTTCATTCTATATCGATTTGATACAATTGACACTTGACCTTTCGCCCCTTTTGTAGTATTTTGGTAACATTGTTTTAAACTACATATATTTGCTTTTTCCTATATAAGGCGATTTACTTGACCATGTTAGCTCAGAATTACATATTATGCATTATCATATGTTCAATTCAGAAAATAACGGACTGCGGTGAAAATGAAGCGCTCCACATATACTTATTGACGACACAATGTTTTAATACACACATTTATTTGTAGCCAATTATTTATGAATATACTTAGTTCGACTAAAACACAGCATGCGCAATGGATCATTTAAGCATTGAAGGTGATCGTGAAACGATGTTATTGGTATTGTTTGGGCTTGCTAAATCTATCAATGCTTTTACATGCTGTTCAATAAGCGTTATATGTTTTTTGTTGTAAGTAACTCGAATTTAATAATTGGCATTGGCGTTATTTTCTTCTGTAGGACTTTCGACCAACCGAACTCCTCTCCCATTGCCAATGTACAATTGCAGCAACAGCAACCGCCAAAAACAACAGGGCCATTCGGCTTGGATCCCAATAAAATAGCGGAAATTGAAAAGGATTGGGTTCGCGTAGATCAAATAGAGAAAGTTGTTGTACCAAATGTGGACATTTCATTACTATTTGAACCGATAAAAGTTTTACCAACAAAGGATGGCGTCAAATATCCACAAGAAAAGTTTGAACAACTTTTGGCTCGTTCCCGTTATATGCAACAGAATCATACAACGCCCCCTCCGTCATCCGGCATGGGTGCAGGCAGTGGCGGTGTTATGGCCAACAATGTATCACCCTATATGAGTCCCCAGCAACAGCAGCAACAATTCAACGCAGCTTTGTACCAGCAACCCTTTGGAAATAATGCCACCAAGTATGGATATTATTGTTGTTTCGTTCTTGTGCATATTTGTATCGTTTTTATATTTTTAGTTTGGCAGATGTATTGCCTAAGCATGATCCCCATTTGATAAAAATTATTAAAGCAACCAGCAGCACGGATACATTGAAGGCCAGGGCGGCTATCAATGAACTCCAAGAGATTATCGATTCTCCTGAAAAACAAGCTGTTTTACGCGACTATGAGGAGATTTTCATACAGAATGTGCTGGCGCAGCTGAAGGTTTGCTAGCCCTACTTTCAGAAACATACAATTCATACTAACACTTTATATGTTGCAGAATCTCTCGCAAATACCTATTGCAGAATCGTTGGTCGTATACCAACCCCTCCTTTCGATATTATACTCATTTTTCTTATCGAAGACATTGGGAAAAACATTAAGTGTGGCCTGTATTAAAAATCTAATGTCAGTTTTGCTTCACCTGTTGGCTGACCAAAAACTGAATACGGGCGATGATGGTCAGTACAATAAAGTCATCAATGGTATATGTGTCAAGGTGTTGGATAAGTCCAACTTCACGAATATGAACTGGTAAGTGACTACCCGAAAATTGTATATTTGAAGTGAATGTTCTCTAGGATGTTCTCTTATGCAGTGCTCTAATACGTCTCTTACGTGAAACATGCCCCGAAGCGGGTCTACCGAAATTCACAGACCTGTTGATGAAATGTATATGGCGCAATGTTAAAACGTTACCAGAACGAAGCAACGAACTTAACTATGATGCCGTAATGTTGGAAGTCCATGAATTCATGTTAGCCTTACCAAGCTCCTGGTGGCAGACTAGGCCATCAGATACCCCCCTAAGAACCGTGAAGACCATCATTCATAATATGGCAAAAGTCAAGGGCAACGCCATACTTCAGCACCTAAATCAAATTCCAACACATTCAGAACTCCACGCATACCTTATAAAAATCCTGAAGGTATAGATTTATTAGTTTAAAAAATGTTTTTACGGTTGTGGTGATATCTATGTTTGTCATTATAGAATCTACAGAAGGAAGGGCATTTACCGAGCTCGTCGCCACAGCGTTCCGTTTCTTCCAAAGATCTATTGGCCAAACAACGCATTTCAAATCAGGCTCACGAAACTATGTCGCAGATCTTCAAATTAATATCTGACAAGGAGACAAAACAGCAGGGTCTGAACAAATTGTACGAATTTAAGGTAAGCTGCTGTCAATTTCAGTTATCACGTATAATTTTTCCTTACAACGGTACTCAAATTGCTTATGCAGATGAAAAATCCAGAAATCGATGTATCAACTTTCCTTAAAGGAGCCAGTCCAAGCTTCCAGAAATATATTGAGGAAGGTTTAGCAGAAATTCAACGCTCGGCCGGCGACGGCAATGCATCTCAAGCCCCTTTAACATCTCAATTGAGCGATAATCGATTGGGTAAGTTCGAAAAACAAAGTATATAATTAATGAAGCTCAACACAAGCTGTATTATATTTATGTAACTACCCTCTGTTTTACACCAATATATCTACAAACACATACACGCACGACACAAAACACACGTATCATATAATATAAAACTACAACAATAAAGGCATGCGCTCCTCGTATCTAACAGATGCCAATTTCCAAAACCAACAATCCCCTGCTATATCAGAAAGCTCCTCCGGGGTCAAGCCAGATCCGGACTTTTGGATGGACAGATTAAACCACTTGAGAGCTAAGGCCAATTTGGCTCCTCATCGTAATGCAGATGGCAGCATTGTAGGCAGCAATTCTCACTTCTCAATGATGGACAATAAAGTGATGGATGAAAATCTCAACTTGAATTCCATGAATGCCCAAAAGGTGTCAGTAATGAGGAGGGATGTAAGTACATTAAAAAACCAACAAAACCAAAGAAAGAAATCAATTATGTTTATTCTTGTTAATAACTCAATAGAAACCAGAAATGTCTCCGAATCGTTTGCAACACATACAAGCCAAATTGGCCCAAATAAAGAAGGAAAGTCACACCTAGATCCATCCACAATGAACATTTAATAGGATTTATAGCCAGTAAGCAGTAACACTGGGTATTTCTTTATCGTTTAGAAGAGATGGCGTCGAAACACAGCCCCTCCCACTTACTATACCACAAAAACACACTCTCCAGTTCTTTAAAAAAAAGTATTTGCTCTCTACAATTAATTTAAAACAGCAGCAAACATAGAAGAAGTAAAAAAGCCTCTGCAAGTGCATACTATCGCCGTCACGAATATGCGATAGAATAATACAGAACCTGTCACAGGGCATTCGGATTGGTTCACATAACATAGAGGCGAAGAAGACATAACTTATTTAAAAAAAGCAATTTATGATACAAACCTATTTCAAACTTTTAATGCCGCAAATGTACTGTTAAGAAACTAAAAACCATATATGAAATTAAAGCAAAACAAGAGAAGATTGTAGATCGAACGCATATTTTCTTACTGAATATCACACAGTTATAGTTAAGAAACATAACCATTAACATTTGTTTGCTAACATAAATTGGCCTTGTTATTTAGAAAAATTATTCATTTAACTATTCAGTATCATTGGCCATTGTTATACATGAATGAAATTATGTTAGGCAGAATTGAATTGTCTTTGAAGCGAAACCACCCCCACAAACAATTACCAGCTGCTGGAATCAATGCCCCTTTCTGGATGGTAACACTTCTTTTTGTATTGTGTGCGTTGTTTTTGTTTGTTTGTTTTTAAACAATTCTCGTTTTCCACATACCTATATTATTTAATTTAATCATACTCATTTTTTTTATTGAAATAGCTTAAGAATTTTGTATTGCTAATGCTTTAACTTTGTTTTTTTATTCTTGCTAAAATACGTTGGTAATTAACAATGAACCCCATTATCCCTAATACTTACTATTTAATTCATAAATTATAATCGAATAATAAAATGTAATAAAAACACACATATATATCTCAAAGGAAACACTGTTAAAGTTTTACATATTTCAATGATTGTTTTCGGAAAAAATATTAACCTCAAGGGTAAGCTGTAGTTATAACATCTCTTGGATAAATGTGTAAAGAGTGTGGTCATGTCGATATGCAATGAATTTTAGGCTTTCAGTCTTCAAGTACACGCGAATTGTAGTGTAATACCACAACATTTCAAACGATTTTCATAAAACAAACTATTTTAATTTATTTCGCCTAAAGGCCATTGTAAGTAATGAAAAAAAAAATATCTTAATTTTTTCACGTTCATCTAGAACTAAATAAGAACTTATCCACATAACTATACATGCGATTTCTCATTTTTAATGCGCAACCCTACTTGTCAACTTCGAATATTTTTAAGTCGATCTGAACAATCGATCATTTTTTATAAATTATTATTTTAAAACCCCTCATATACCCACACAATTAAATTACAATGGGGCAACACACAGCAACTTAAATTACAATATGGCCACACACAGCGCAACTTAATTTTATGAATCTTTTTTTCCACACACATCTGCATCTCCCAACGAAAATTTTTTACATGCGAGATATATGTATTATGTCCCGTCCAGCAATATTCAACTTTTGTAAGTAAGGGTTAATAGAACAAATCAAAGGTCTAAGGATGCATTTTTATAAACGGCATTTTGCTTTTATAAAGCAATTAAATTGGATATCTTCGTATTTATTTTAAAAACACAAAATATTCAACAAATTTCAAATTTGAGTTCAAGCGGACATTAAGCAACATTTTTAACGTATTTTTTATAATTTTTTTTTTGGTTATACATATTACATTAACGACAACAAGTTGAATTAAAATTGATTAATTAAAATCACGACTCATCATTTGATTCGGCATTGTTTGCTTCTTCGGTGTCGTCCTTCAGCTCCTTCTGCTTAGACTTTTGATTATCGAACCTTGATGATATGGTTGCTACGCGTATAGCAGCTTTAAAGCCAACCTTAAAAAATAAGTTAGAAAAGTGGTTGCAAGTTGAGAAAACCAAAACAGTTATGTAAACCACAAACCTTTGCCTTCATTTTAGCCAGCTTTGCTTTCCAGTTTTCATCTCGTGACGGTAAAGCATTTAACCACTCGATCATACCTTCCTTTTTGGGATCAACAATGGCCAGGGTTGATAGGCATCCGTCTACGGTGCCCAGAACCAGACAACGACCATCCTTAGAACTTTTAATGGCCGTCAACTCGGCCTGCATTCGATAGTTTGCAATCATTTCAGTATCGGAGGTCCGAAATACACGAATGGTCTTGCGTCCACTGTGGTAGTAGCAAACATATTCATCGTTTTCCGTAAATATACAGATCACAGAAAACACTCCCTCAGCCACTTTGGGTATGAAGGTCTTGACGGTAGTACCCTTACGCAATTCAAGCATTTCTAAACCACCACGTGTGGGTGCATAGAGACCACATTTACCATCTTTGGTTATACTACCACCCCACTTAGGTATGGAACGAATGTTCTTCTTACTCTTGATGTCGATAATGTTGCCCTTTTCACTGCTTATTACCGCGACTTGCGATGCCTTGTTGGGCATGGGAACGAGTGACATGACTTCTTTGATGCTACAACCCTTGAGTAGGACTTTTGAAATGAACGAACCGTTGGCAGCATTGTAAACAGCTAGACAGTCCTTGTTTGACTTATCTACCGAACATGCAATGATGCTTGCTCCGTCAGCAGTGATTACGGACTGGCGAAATGATAAGCCGGGCACCGAGCGTATGGCGAATTCGAATCGAAAGAGCACAGATCCCTCTACATAAGAACACAAATTTATTCCGCATCGAAACTAACTCCTTGGCGTCTTCCACTTCCATACTTACCAGGCACTGATCTCACTGTGGTTGTGGCCATTAATCGACTGGTTTCGTCGCCTTCTTTTATTTCTTTCTGATTTAAATTCGGGCACGACACTGTCATGACCTTGTAACCATAATCCATGAATGTAATTTGTTGAATGCCTGGCTGGTCATCTCTGTATATAACCTGTTCGGAAACACGGTTCCATATCAAAAATTTACCCGTTTCTGACGAAATAATGTAGCGACCATCGGGTGTGATTTCTGCGTGTGTAACAATGGCTCCCAAGGGACTATCCGCCAATTTCGTAATGAGTCTGCCAGTTCGAGTCTCCCATACACCAACGCAACTTCGGGTCACAGTCACAGCCAAGTCCACCTCCGAAAGACTGTACAGAAATATAATTAGGGCATATTATTTCATTGTTTGTCGATAATGTGAAGACTGTGGGCTCGGTGGTACCTTATATTGTCGATCTGTAGTTCATGTCGGTCAATGACGTGCACCTTTTCGAAAATGTTATTAATATTCCAAACTTTAACCGATCTGTCGATTGACGACGTAACAACATTATTCCAACTACCGATTGTAAGGGCTTCCAACTGAATTATGCGGCCAAAATGGGCGTCGAGTACTTTGGCCAATTGTAGGCTTTGCAAACACCAAACATATAAGTTCTTGCGTACACCCGCGACCGCATAGTCCAATTTCGAACTGACCATTATTGAGTTCGACTGCATTGTTTTTGTTGTGATATTCCGAACACCATGGGGCAGAGGCAAATACATAGCACAATCACTAAGCCTGTTGCCCTCCTGATCGCCGAAATCCCATATAACGAAACCTTTGCCAGCGGTACCAAGAAGCATGCGATCCTTTTGGTCCAGACGCAGTTGCAGTAACATTTCCCTTTCGTCGTTTTCATAACGAGGCAACGTTTTCTCTAGCATCCAACCTATATTTGGCCTTTCCTCCGAAGAGTCGACGAAATGAAAGACACTAACCTCGAAATTTTCTTCGTTTGTACAGCCATAAAGTCGGTCTCTTGCCTTGTTCAGGGCCAATGCACTGTAGAACTGCAACGGTTCCGAGTACATTTCTCCCCTGCGACAGGACTCAAATCGTATGCGGGTCTCACTAATGGATCCCGACCAAAATGTTATATTGTAATCCTTGGGGGTCGTAAACTCCATATTTAATATTTCCCAACCCATGCAGTTGCCTGGCACTGTGAAGATGTCCACCAAATTGCCACGCATGTCGTACTGGGCCCACTTCAACTTGCATGTAATAAATAAACTGGAAAGAAAATCCATCACCAGTGGTGTGTTTATATAATATAAACATCATTCTTACCTCTGATTTATCAGATACAAACTACCAATTGGTCCGTCAGATTCGTCAAAGGGCGTGTCTATGACCACAAATTCACTAGAGAGCATATTGAGTAGAACTGTTTGGTTGTTGTTGGAGTAGGCCGCGGCCCATTTGTTGTCGGGGCTTAAAACGAGCTGTTGCATTATGCCCTCGATGCCAGGGTTGACGTCCCTCGTGAGATCCGACGTTGAAAGATCAAAAGTTATGAAATGCGTTGAAATCGAGACCATGTAACGCATGTCACTGGTTAGAGTGAATCCAAAAACTGCAAATTGATGGCCTTCCAAGGAGTACTAGAAGTAAATGATGGGATGTGTGTGTGTACGTGCATTATACGCGCGTTATACAAGATTCATCGCCAATCGGCAAACTTACTTTCAAAGGGCCGCCAGGGGTGTGAAGGCAATGATTTACCGGTATCAAAGCACAATCCTTTGGGCCGCAGTGGTCACAAGCTCTGAGCAGCATTTTAATGTTTGCATTGCCTCCAATTTCTGGCAAAAGACGTCCAATCAGTTGCGGAGCCAACATATTGGGATAGACAGCCAATATAGCACCTCCCAATCTAAGTGCATCGGCCACCAGCATTAGTTCCCTCTTCGCCTCTTTATCGTCTGTATTGCATGAGGCGTCTTCAAAGTCTGCCAATACCGCTTGCAGGGGACAGCTTGACAGCTTGGCATGTAACCATTCGTAATTGAAGAGAACATGTTCGAACAAATCATTGAAGCGCCGCGAACGCACAAAGTGAAAGGGAAGTTCGCCGAACTGAAATATAAAAACGGTATTGCTGAAGTTTAAAAAAAGTTCGAGGAGAATCTCAACCCCAATACCTTGCGAAGATTGTATCTCTTAGCACTGCCATCTTTGCTGGTGAACACTAGCGGTTGAATGGGTACCTTACGATCGGCAGCGCCCTCCTTTTCGGTCAGCCCGAAACGATGCCTCTGGATCTCGGTAAACTTAAATGGCTTTGGCACACCCCCACCCCAAATGCCCAGATAGTAATCGGCAATCATGGAATGAAAGTACATGGCCATGTTCATGTTTTTGAAATAACGTTCCTTGGCTGTGTCGCGGAACTGTCTGTGATACCAGTTCATCACATTGACACCATCAGCTTCCCGCTCACTCAGATAATTGGGCAAGTCATTGCGTATACGTGTCCACAGCAAGGGCGGAATGCGTCGTACCGGTGGCAAGTGATACTGGTAGACGTCGTCGAGCACTTTGTCATCCAGAGATATCAAATCCTCCAGTTCACTTTCGGACAGACCTGATTTGGAAGCAGTTATATATGCCAATGCATGGAATACCAAAATACGGCCGTGCTGTTTCTCGACTCGTTCGAACAGTAACATGATCGAGTCCATAACATTGTTGGCCAAATGTGTCTCCTGCGGTCTGGTATAGGAGCGCCAGCGACATATCTCTGCGAATACCAATTTCACAAAGATCGGCAGAGAGCATTTACTTATGGCGTTTGCCACCAAACGCCACTGGTAATTGTTTAGATCACGACAGGCTGTCTTCATCCACATTTTGATAACATTCATTGCCAGATCTTCGCCCAATGCGGTAACTTCGATGAAGTTCTCTTCGACATCGATCATTTTTCTCAGGACATGATACTCACGCGACACCACTGGGTTACTTTCTTCGTTCGCACAGGAAATAACAATCTGTCGTTGATTGGAAGGGTGACAGGGGGTTTAATGTGGAGTGAGTGATATCCGATAGACGGACAGAGGTTTGGAGAGTAAACAAAGAATTTCCTTTAGATATGTTAGGTTTAAAATGCAATTTGGGAGTATTCAAATGTATGTTCCTTATTAGAACTATTTAATATTTCAGTCCACATCGATGGCATTGATTTGAGAAACCGAAGTACGCATACTCTTATTTCAATATATACACACATACTTACATATGTATGTATGTGTAGATCAATGTGTAAGTGTGTCTAATTTGAAAATTAATATTGTTTCCGAATACGAATTTAGCAGTCACAGTTCAAGCAATTTGGAAAAACTTATTATAGCCGAATGCAAATTCGCTGTCGTCCGCAAATAAATATGTATGCAGATACTTACCTTACAATGGGGCGGAAGGCGTGTTGGGATCCACGACACGTTATTCGAGTCTTGGGTACCCGTCAATTGATCTACGGAATCCAAATACAAAGTCAATGGTTGATTCGGACTTGCATAAGTTAGTAATTGCTTAAAGTGTGCTGTTAATGGTACCAAGTCGTCGGGTATATTCTCGAATGGTAGCATATAGTTATACGAAATCTATAAAGAATTGCGCATTAAGGACGTACGACAGTTTGTATGTACGTTTGATGATCCGGGTCGGTGGAGGTGTAATAAACAAACCCTTGGGACCATTCCTACCTGTTGGCAAATCGATATTAGAGTCGGCGTCAGTGCACTCGAGTCGGGAGTGGTGCCCAAGAAGCGTATTATATTGACGGGCTTTTTGTCCGAAAACCACTCGCCAGCTACCAAGGCAGCGGTCTTAGCCAAAAGTGAGGTTTTGCCACAACCTCCTTCGCCATAAAGGACAAGTGGTTTATCTGAATCCTCCAGCATGTAACGCTTGATTTTTTCTAGACTTTCTTCGCGTCCATAAAATACTTTAACCGAATTATTGCAAGCGTGCAAATGCTGAAGGATTTCAGTGACTATCTGTCCCTGTGCGCTGGAGTCTTCCTTGCGCATAGCTCGGTCCACCAGCTTCACAATGTTCTTATAGAAATGCGATATGAAATGGTTCAGGTACTCCTCATGCGTTTCTATGTCGAGTCCTTCGCGTCCGATCCATTCGACGGTGTATTTCTGCATGTTGCTCGATTCGATCTTTGCCGGCAAACGATTGTCCCTTAGATCACTCAACAGTTTTGCCGACTCGGTGTCCAAGCTGCGATTTATGATGTCGACGAACAGGGAGGCCTTCTTCAGGTTCTGCAGATTGATGTTGTTGATGTAGCGGACATAGGCCAAACAATGATTTTTTGTGTTCTTTACATTGAGGACACCGTTGATGACTTCACGTTCAGTAACTGTGAACAAGACGAGTGGTTGTTACTGTGGCTGGTTGTTATATTATATTTCACGAAAATATGATTGGGAAATTAAAACTAAATGAAAATCCACATAAATGAATATTTTGTGTGGTTCTGGAGAGGGGATCATATTTGCAACCTATATTTATTTATATATATTCTAAGTAGATTATCATATGAAGAATAATTGGTCATACCTTACCCGCAGTAAGACGGATGTGGTCATTTACTACACTGATATGTCATTCAAGTATTTTTTTGCATTTAAGCTGACCGACCTATCGAGTTGTGGCGACATATCTGTGTAAAAATTATCATTTACCTGACATAAAATAGTTATGCACTGCATCTTTGTCCATTTTGCCACTGGCACCCAACGATGCAGCAGCTTTTCTAAGTAATTTTTGCATTTTGCCCAAGGTGTCCCACCATATGGCTTGATCTTCTGCTTGCAGCTTTGGAACTCTTTTATTATTGAAATTGATGAGAATCGACGATATGGGCTGCAGAACAGAAATGGGTGGCACTGCATTGCTATCCTTCTTATACCACAAATCCAGGAGGGCTCGGTCCACACCCATCGAAGTTAGCTCTTCGCAAATCAGTTGCAATTCCGAAGACAAGATATATGTCGGTATTGGTCGATATCCGTACTTCTGGCCCAAAAAAACCACAAAATTTGGACCCATCGAGAGTCGTTGGCAGTTCTTAATTTCACGCATACACAGCTCAGTGGTCATATGATCATCGGTAGCCTCGTCACGCACACCCCATCGCATATCCACTACCTGGCAACAATACCAACACGCATTTTGTTTTTAACCTTGACGTTATGCAATGTCAAGCTGAAATTGACATAGCCGCATAGCGAATAAATACCTGAAATTCCAAACCATGTTTCTCCCGACAGTAGTCCTTGATGCGAGGATAACACTTGGCCATTAACGAATTCCTTTCCATTGTGGTATCTGTGGAGTGTTTATGCAAATAATCAATGTCATTTGGACTAAACTAAATATGTTGCTAAAACGCACCTGTAAATGTGGAACTAGTAAAAATCCGCACTATTTTCGAACTGACCGGAGGCAGCGACTCCAAGGAGCCCGCAAATATGGAATCTATCGTCTTGTCATCCATAGTTGCTGAAGAATATTTCCACTGTCTTTATGTTTGTTCAGTTTCTTCCGTTACAGAGACCTGATTTGAATTCCACCGACGTCAGCATACGTCTGACGCGACTGAGAGTTCTGTTTATACTCACGCCGACTGGTGTGCATTTCCATTGACATGTGTTTGGTCGATATTTTGGCAATCAAAATAAAACAACTGGAATCCCGTAGTAACCACATTGAAATTGTAGTAACAATGCTGTAACCCATTGTTCGGCGTTACCATGATTTCGACTGCAACAGGTGCAATATACGTGATTTGACAATGCCGTCACCCACGTCGAATGTGTAGCGTGTTCAAGTCAATCAGATTCAAACACTTTATAAGGCAATCGGTGTCAGTCAAAGCCATATCATGAACATTCAATCTCGTAGCAAGTTGTTCGTGGTGAAATATAACTGAACTTTACGTTCCGAATAGGGAGCACCTAATTACCGTTGCTCATTTTGATTCCTCTAATACCAACTGAGGCTATCTCAGGGTAATACTGACCCGAAAATACTTTGACTTTGAAAATACATAACGTTAAACGAATCTATGCATCTACAGAATTTTATTTTTGAAGTGATAGTCGTCATTAGATGAAAAATGCCAAGAGTTTTTATCAAATTTGGTTCCCTACAGCAATTTTTTCTCAGACAGGAACAATTTAGCTATTAAGGGGACCCCCCCCCCCCATTCTCGGAGTCAAAAATTTTGTTGATATAATTCGAATCTACACTAATTAAAGAATGTCCCTGCAAAGTTTCAAATGAAAATCTCAAGAACTCTTGAAGATATAGCCGATTTATTGTGTCAGCATCAAGTGACGGCTGAAGGGCTTCTCAAACTTTAAACGCGTTTTTCTCTAAACATTTTTTTGCGAATGGCGGGCACGATAACTCAAAAACTAATAACCCAATCGATTTCAAATTTTTACATGTTTCTCTGTGAGTGTATAGCTCTCGTATGAACTAGGATAAAGCCAATCGGTGAAGATCTTCCTTATTTTTTAACTTGGGTTTTGGTAAAAAATCGGCGATTTTCCAAAAATATTTTTTCAAAGGTCCACCATTTTGTTAATTTTAGAGCGAAGTCAATAATCCTAGTTCATACGAGAGCCAGACATGTACTCTTTCTAACACCGTTGGAATTTTCGGATTCCGATGTTCCAGTGAGGAGTTATCATGCCCGCCATCAAAAATAAGGACTTTTCTTTAATTACAAAAAACAACAACAAAACAACAACAAAAATTTTTTGTAAATTATTTTTCTTCTATTTTAAATCTTCAATTATATATGTGTGAAGTTACAAACCTTAACAAGCATTGGTATTGATTTACCAGCCCATTGAAAATCTTGAAAAATTAAAATCGAGAATGGGGGGGGGGGGTTCCCTTAAATGATATTACGGTATAAGGAGGGATATAGGCATTAATGAATAACACCCTATTGCGAACATTTCTGTCTAGTAGGTAGGATATGCGTGTCTTGTCATTGCTTCGTTCTAATGACCTGTTATGTCAGCAAACATTTGTTTACATTTTATGGCATTGAACTTGTTTCTCTTTTAAATGTTTAGTTGGACAAAGCGTGGTATTATATTGACGGCAGTGTTATGTTCATGACGTTATATTGACTGCAAATATTGTGGGTGTTCGGGGTAATCTTGATCGAACCCGAAATTATTCAAGTAAATTTAAGCCATTTACATTCTATCAGTCAATATACGACGCTAAACGGTAATTGTTGGGTTAAAATCAAGCCTTGGACTAATTGGGGCTGATTACGATGTCCAAAGCTTGATTCCAACCCAACAATTACCGTTTGGAGTCGGGAATTCCGTAACGAATTTGTCTCTTTTCGTGTTCGCCGTATCATAAACAAAAGAAAATCAATCCGCAAGTAAAAAATAGTTACAAATGAAACCCAAATTGAGTGTTCGTAAAAAAATAAATAAATAAAAATTATTGAATAAATAAAACTCGCTTCCAAAAACGACGAATTTGTTTTTATATACCCTTTTTCACTATATGTTGTTCTTTATACAGACCTGTGGTATCTATACACTTTCAATCGGTCTCTGTAAAGACCAATTGGGGTTTATACTGGCCTGTTGTCTCTATACAGACTAATTGTGGTTTATTAATCCAATTCTAAATAGAACTGTCTTTATAAATCTAATTGAATGATTTACACGAAATTTTGCATAACGCATTGAATTGAGTCTGGAATGACGTATCTTGTTATTGATTGGCCATGTTTTTATACCCTCAGCCTTATGACTAATGTGGGTATAAACACTTTTCTCCGCCAAAAAAAGTTTGGCGATGACGCCCAATAGAATAAGGTTTAATTATTAATAGATTATTTAATTGCAATGAATTTCGCCATAGCTCACTCTTTTGACCCAAGGCAACGTTTGTTAATAAGGTTAACCGGTAAGGCCAGTTGAAGTTTTCATTGACTGTCAAAATTTAAACAAAAAATTATATTCGAACAAAAATACGCGTTTAATACTATCATTAGAGAGAAGACTAAGCCATGAATTCGTCATCCGGTAGACCTTGGGTCAAATTATGAATGTCGATATCGAGTGAGTTTTTATTCGACAGTAAATTTCGATACGATCAATACTTACAGTATAACACCATCCGTTCGTAATTGTTCAAGAAAAGTTTTCGATTTTTCCGAGAGAAAACCGTAATCGATCTGTCATTTTCTCTTTCTATATGGGAGACATAAACACACTGGCATATTGGCCAGAAAAAATAAAACATAATTATGTTTGGAAATATTTTAATTTTTGGCGTCTTTATTGAATAAAACATTTCTTTGTATATTCTGAATTAAATTGAGTAAACAACCCGGACATTTTTTGAAATGACAACATTCTTTAACTAATTAGATGTACCATGTCATGTAAAAACTACTAAGAATATTATTTTTATTATCTTCTTCAGATGCAAATATTAATTATCTTTTTATTATAGGTTTTCTTTTAAAACATTTAACTTTAAGTTTGTCTTTATTCGATGAGATTTGCTTGGAGGCATTCAAAAATTACTCATTTGTGACTTGTAACTGGAATACTCTTCATTAATTTTTTATTTATTATTTTATATCAAATAATTTTGTCACATCGCATTCTTCTGACCCAAGGTGTTGATCTTTTTGGTAGTACGTTCAGATGTTGATTTGTCTAAACATAACATTTATTATTCGACCTATTTGAATACATCCAAATACATTAAGTTATATATCCAGCCCATTCCTCTCCTCGCTGGTATTCTTGATAGTTTTTTTCCTGTTTTCGACACCTATTTTAGATACGAGCTATTTCAGCTCAACTTTCGACTAGATATAAAACTGATAGTAAAAATTGATAGAATGTTTAGTTGTGTTTCGTCATTTCATAAGGTGTGGATAGAAACTCCAAGCACATTTAAAATAAAGCTTCTGTACCTTCTTTTATCTACAAGTGAATAACGATAACTCACGAAAGAAGCGACCGATTAAATCGCCTTTATTCTCCAATTGTTATGGAACTTTTTTTCCAATTGAAAGAACAATTTACATATCGTTTCACATTTCGATGTAGCTATCATATGTAGCATCGCCTTTCTAATTGCTATATTAAGGTAAGATGCATTACATGTAACGTTGCTTTGTGCCACTTAGACTTCCGACACTGTCAAATACAAATTTTAAATAAATGCGACTCCAAAAATGTTCATTGATTGGAAACTGACATTTTAAATCAATGCCAAGGTCGGTGGTTTTACTTACAGAAACAATTAATAAAATAAATGAAACACAAATGGAAACATGTATTTATTGTTTTGATTTAATAACAATATATATTTTCGCGTTAAAATGACGCCTAGTGTATGACAATTATGATACGATTGTGTATTATGTATTTAAGGGTATTACTATTGTTATGTTGGTAATACAATGATTAAAAATGTTAAAAGATTTTATTTAGGATTTCATTTTGTAAGATAAGTAATTTTGCGTATGTTTTTTTTTTGTTATTGTTGTAATGACAAATGCGTGTTGTAATGTACGTTGTATATAGTGGAACATAGGAATTTCAAAATATAGGATGAGATTGGTTAAGTTTATGATAAATGATTGTTATGTTATATTTGCCTATTATGTGATGCGACGATATTCAATATAAATACTTTGTTTTGTGTCTTAATAAAAAAGCATAATAATTTAATAACTATTTGCATGCGGCTGGTTCCCATTGCGGAACATACGCACACACACACTCTCCAATTGTAATAATAACAAACAAAAATACTAATAATTAAATCAAACAATTATTTATTCCTTAAATTGCGTTTACTGTTATATTCCCGTTTAGAATTCATGTTATTTTTATCTATAATAAATATGTTTATATAATAATAATTAATAATTTCAAAAACTCTATAAATAAATATTTAAAAAATAATCAAATACATACATAAATACAGGGAAAACGAAAGCAAATGGTATTGAAAATGAAAATTATCAATCTAAAGCGAAAAAAAAAAACAAAAAGAAAAAGTATATAAACAGGTAAAATATAAAACAAAACACAATGCAACCTTGGCTTAAGTATAAACATATACGAAATTAAAGCATTTATAAACCTTATTCGACTTTTGTGTATATAAAATTGGGTGGTGGCTGTTGATCCATACATCTGTCCGTGCTTCAATATCGACGGCTGAAATTTCAAATTTATTTACGGTAAAAATATTGATTTTTATTTATTACTAATGTATTTATTAGTTATTCATTTGTGTATTTTATATGGAGATTTTTCCGGAACAAATGTTCGTAAGTGGTGGTTGTGGAGTTATCGAATGATTGGGCGTCTTAGCAGCAGCTAGCCTGTGTCCTATGTTAATCTCTCTCTTCCTATATATATATATATATATATATCCTTAGTAATTTGCTACGAGTGTGATGATCTTCTTTCGCAAGATTTTCTACAACCAATTGGTCCTTTTGTATCTACATATATTATGGGGGTACCAATTTGTACCTTAACTTGATGACACTTTTAAAAGATGCTTGTCTTTGATTAGCAAAGACTGTATGGGATGATCATCGGATGACCTTGAGGCCAAAAGAGCCTGCTTGTGTATGTGGGGCGAGGAAGGTGAGGTCAGTGTGATTCTACAACAGATAAAATACAACTCTTTCGTTGGTACATGTGATTGTGATACATCTCAAAAGCGGTTCAACAACAGAAAGCTGAGCTAAGCTAAATACCGTCTTTTGTAGCACTTGTCTACAAAAATTTGTCAAATTCGTTTGGTTTAATGTCCCGTCAATGTGTTGTAGTTGGTGTTATTAGTTGATGAGCTTAGGCGGCTGCACTGCAGTTTTTGCTTAAATGTTAAGCGCATGGTTAATCTATGACATCTAAGTGTTGGCAACTAGCAGCCTTGATAAAGTTCCATATGAAGTTGCCCAACACCTACCTTGGACTATTCTCTGATTTCTCACGCACCAATGTTGTTGTGGTGCTGACAGTGGGGCCACCATTGTGTTTCTGTAATGATTGCCTTCGCGTTTGAATGGGCTTAAGGCGTTCCTCCAAATCACTAATGGATCCATCCGAGCTGCGAGAATCCTCACTATAAAAATAAAACATTTCATAAGCGTGCGATTCATTGATGTATGTGTGTTATATATACCTATCCGACAAATCTTCGTCGCCTTCTTCCATAGCCTGTTGCAGGTCGGCTATACGCTGCAGAGCAAGTCGTAAGTCATTTCTTAAAGCAGAAGCCTCTGCTTCCACTTGTTCGACTTTCTTTTCTAAATCTTTGCGTTTTGCTATCGACTCCTGCTCTCTACCAGAAACAGCATGGAACTCTTCACGCAATTCCCGTAAACTTTTTTGCGATTTCTTGAGTGCATCTTGCGCCTGTAGTTCTCTGACCTTTGATTGTGATAATTCATTTTGTAGTCTTTCTATTGCTTCTTTGTGACGATTTACTTGGACTTCGAGCCGCGACCTTGTGGCCTGTTCCAAATCTAATCGTGACTCTAACTCCTTCGAACGTAGTTCCAACCTAGAAACCAATCCCAAAAATATAAGAATATTCGATTTCAAAACAGAACCTAGAATAGTTACCGTTTGGAATTCATTGCCGCTGAGGGATCGGCCAGATTTTCAATATTTTCCAATCTATGCTGTAGCTCGCTTACTTGCTCTTTAAGACTATTGCGTTCCGCCTCCAATTCAGACAGCTTAAATTCATATTCAGATGCTGCAATCTGTTCTGTGTTAAGCTGCTTAACTGTGGCACTGTACTTTTTCATAAGTTCGGCCAATTCTTCTTCATTCTCCTCTATTTGAGTCTGGAGTTCGCCTCGCTCCCGTTGGGCCGCAGTTGCGCGATCTTCGGCCTCATTGCGCGCCCTGTTGGATTCCTCGTACATTGCCTGCATTTCGGCCAATTCCGCTTCAGCGGTCTGACGTGCTTTCATGGCCAGTGTCCGGGCAGACTCAGCATCTTCCAGTTGGTTACGCAGCTGTCTAATCAACGTTTTTCCCGGAGTATCGGCCTTCAATCTTTCCAATTGAGCATGGGCGTCTTTTAGCAGTGCCTTGTATTTGCGCAAGTCGCGGCGTAGTTTTTGATTTGCCGCCTCTTCGGCTTGGCGATCAACACGATCCTGATCTTCCATCGAAGCTAAACGTCTTTCGAGTTCGTGTTTTTCCCTCAACAGCAGTGTTCTTTCTTCGTGCTCCGTTTCTAATTGACATTCCAAAGCTGCAAGAAAATAGTTCGTTAGTAAATAAAGAATTGACTCTCTAGGATCGCCGTCGTACCTTTAATTTTCTTGTAGGCACAGCCGCGAGCCTCCTCAAGCTCTTCATCCCTCTGTTGAGCCTCTCGGCGTGCCTCCTTCCGCATCGTTTCCAATGTCATTTCCAAGCGAAGTTTTGCTTGTTCCAGTAACTGCACTTGACCCGCCATTTCATCCAACTCTTCCTCCTGTTCCTTCACTCTGCGATCCAATTCATTTTTGGAGCGCCTCAGTTGGGCTATCTCCTCCTCAGTGCCACCGCCAAAAGTCATTTCTTCCAATTCTCGCTGCAGTGAAGCCAACTTCTCCTCCTTGAGATCGAGCTCAAGACGAGTGTCCTATAAAAGCAAAAATGAAGCAGTGCGAAAATATGTCAAATGACTACCGATATGTTTCAACGCAATCGTTTTTTCTTCCAAGAAAACATCCATCAATTCTGGCTACACTCATTCAAACAACTGTTTCTCGAGTACAACTAAACATTTTTAATATTCTTTAATTCGCTTATTCGTGAAAATGGGATGGTAATAAACAAGATCATATTCGAGACATTGTGTAATGGTTCTATGGACTATATTTTGTGCCGTTTATTTGTCTACCCTTGTCCTTCCCCTTCACATCAACTAACAGCTGCGGAGCGAAACTAATTAAAAATGTCATGTTTTTACTAGTTTACGAAACTATTAAACAAGAATTTGTACATATGTATGTATGAACTAATGTTTGTACGTAATTTGTATATATGTATGTATACCTGTATATACGGAATATACAAACATACATACAAATAGACACACACGCACGCACACATCCAACTAGCATTGATGGCGATCAATTCGAGTTGAAGCCTAACGACGACGACGACTGAGAGAGGTGGGTCAAGCAAGCGCATATAAATGTAGATACCAAAGAATCTGTCGTATAGACACAAAAAATCATACTTGCAGCAGTGCGGCACACGTAGTATAACGGAGACTCATTGTCTTTGCTGCACTCGACAATCCTTGGACAAAATGGTAATTCGCTTTAGGCACCCAACATTTACTTTTTTTTCCAAATTACATTTTTTCACAAACAAATCCAAAGCAAGATGTCCGATTTTGATTAGATCAGCACAAATTAACTTTTCACTTAAGAATCGAAATGTGGTATTCACAGGCTAGCTGGCTGATCGGCTTGTTCCCGAGCGTTTGTGGAAAATCGTCTTCCGCCTAGTGTTTGTAGCACAACCTAGCTCAGGCTTTGAAATAATAAAACTGAAAGAATGCTCTGATACCAATGAGAGCAAGTTGTCTGAGCTGTGCTCAGAACTAACATCAAGATTTGTAAGAACATCGAACATGCCGCATATACACATACATACTTGCGTTTGTTTACACAATGTTCACCACAACGTATATATGTACATATACCGCAACTTCTGCGTTTGAAGCTTGTTCTTGTGTGTAGTACGTGGAGAAAGGAGGACGTGAGGAATAAACAACAAACATACATTGTTTGTTGCTCGCTAGTTGCATGATGTGCGGACAAATGGTTTGTTGTCTCCCTGTCCTATATGCGTTTGAAAGAATCGGGTATCGGGAGTTTGTCCGGGTACTTTTCCAGCACTAACTACTCAGTATGTAATTTATTTTGCGAGAGTTCTTAAAAATAAATGAGTTGACAATCTCCTTATGAAAAACTCATGCTTATGAAAAACTCATGGTGTACAATTATACAAGGTAACTGCAAAACCCAGCTGATTTGATTCCAACGTAATGCTCGTGTCAATTTAGATACGAGAGAGTGTGTTCTTAGAAATGACCCAACAGAAAAAATGGAAATTATTCTTTAATAAATGTTCCTCCGTATCAAATTTACTCGAACTAATTGCTGGGAAAGTTTGAAGCAAATAGAATAATTCCCGATTTCCAGCATTTGCATATGTGTGACACATACAAGTGTCAATGGCTCAATTGGAGGAAATATAAGCGATATAATTACAATCAAATCCGCTTAAATGATGAAGTGAATTTTTTCAATAATGCGAAGTTCAAATAATTGGTATATGTTTCATTTAGACACCAGGAGTAAATCCAGTTTTTTGGAACATTTGAAAATATGAATAAAACCTGCATTTTTTAAACATTTGAAAATAGTTTCTGCCTACGTGTTATCCCATTCAAAAATTTCGACTGCCTCTGCAAATCATTTTTATTTGGAAATTGTACCAAAGAAAACCCACATTCTAAAGGCATATAAATTAGACAAATTGTCATTTAGTTTTACGAATGACATATTCTTATTCTGAATAACCTTACATTTTGGATATTTAAAATAATGCAATGTTCTGACTGGAATTTAAAAAAAAAAACGTTGTTCGCTCTCAAAATTACGTACATGAATTAACCCGTGCATGCAACACAATTCTTAATTAATGTCAACACTTACTTTTTTACAACCTTTTGTACTTAATCGAGTACATCATCTATTGTCTTATGGGGAAACCCATCTCGGTTTCAAAAAATGAAATTTTTAGTTTTTATTGAAGTCGAACTTCACTAATTCAAGAAGTAAGTTTAAAATTTACAGTGAACATCTCAATAAGTCTACGAATGGTGAGAAGCATAACTCAAAAACTAATACATAATCCAATCCGTTCTAAATTTTGTCATATGAACTGGAATAAATGTAATCGGTGAAGATCTTCCTTCTTTTCTAACTTGATTTGTGGTCGAAAATAGGGGATTATTTTTTTCATAGGACCGCCATTTTGTTAATTTTTGTGAAAATTAAAAATCCTAGTTCATACCATAGGCATACATATAATGTCATTGGAATTCTGATGTTCCAGGGATAGGAAATCATGTCCCCGTTGACAATAAATACTTTTCTTTAATTACAAAAAAAAAAAAAAAACATGTACAAAATTGTGTCAATTAATTTCAACATGTCAGATATCAAAAAAACATGATTATTATTTTTTGGTTATCCCACCTTTGTTTCCTTTTTGTTTATTGAATTGTAATGCCCACAAGTCCTGATTAAAAAATAAACATGATTGTGGATAGCATATATGTATATTTATATTTATATGCAATTATAAATAGAATATGTCCATAATATTTTGTTAAAAATTATGCCAATCGACATGTATAGAATTTTATGGAAGTTATCATGGCATAATTATGGAAGGTAGTCTCATTTGAAAATGTGATATTGGCGACGCTTTTAGTTTGTAATTCATAATTCACATAAATACATGTGTTCTACTTTTGTGGTGAAAAACGTCGAACGAGCTAGTTGAATTTTAGGTAATGCTGTTATTTTTGGAAACCGAAAGTTGTCAAAAGTAATGTTATGAAAAAAATGGAACCTGTGTCTGCATGAGACTACCTTGTATAATTATGCTATAAGAAGTTATTTAGTCATATTATTTGGAATTGATAGATGGCCTACAAATTTTAAAGTGTGACATTATCAACCTTTCCAAAATGAGATCATAACCTTAACTAAATTCTTACGAAGCGTACAAAAAAAATTAAACTTCCCCACTATGGCAAAATGTTTTGTACGGCCGTACTACCCAAATACGTTCAATCCATTTCTTATAGCGAACTAAACAAAATTAAGATATTATAAAATGTGTTCAAATATTTCATATTCTTATTGAAATAAAGTATATTTCTTTATGTTTTGTTTCTATTTTCAACAAAAGAAAACAACAAAACTACGTTCTGTAATAGTTGAATTTTTTCAACTTTGAAAATTGATAAGCCCCACGAAAAAAATGTATGTGTTGATCGGTAAATCCCTTTTAAAACTAGAGTTGGTATTATAAGAAAATTGTCTCACTCATAGTTGTTAGGTACGATATATTTGAGACAATCGTACATAGATAAATTCTACTGTACTTACTGCCAATGATTGTTCCAGAGTAAATTTCTCTGCAATTAGTATATCCTTTTCTCTTGATAAACGGTCTTTGGCTTGACGTTCTTGCCGGGCAGTGTCCTGTTGTAAAAACCAAAACAATTTTAAATATTTACATCAACGCAGAACAACCTGCTAAAGCCATACCTGCAATGCTTGACATTCGGAATCGAATTTCCGTTGCTTTTTCTCCAATAGGTTATTTCGGGCATTCTGCTCATCCAACAACATGCGCAAATCATTCATTTCGTTTGTCATTTTCTGGGCTTTACGTTTCCATTGGCCCACCACTTGACGCTGTTCTTCTACCTCCTCGTAGGCATCGTTGAGCTGTAAAGTATAAATATTGCTCAGAACATGTTTTATCCAATATTGCAACATTAAGCGTTTTCACCTTCTTTTCCAATTGTTTCTTCAAACCTATCAACTGTTCCAGGTCATGCTCGTGCTGTGTTTGGAGACGACGCTTGGTGAATTCCAATTCCTTTGCTACTCGTTCATATTTCAGCTTGTAGACACCGCCTGCAGAACCGTTTTCTTCGTTATCGATATCCTCCTCTTCCGATATGCCATTTAGGTCGGATTTTGCACAGATTAACTCCATTTCTAACTTCTCTGTAGTCTCCTGCAATTTCTTGACCTTGTTTTCCTTTTCGGATAGCTCCTTTTCCAGGCGCAGGCGTTCAGCGGTCTCGCCTTCCAGCCGCTCAGTTGCCATATTGGCCGCTGATCGCTCCTCAGCCAAATCCACAGCCATTTCAGATAACTGTAATAGAACAACGAAATTATGAATTGTTTATATAATTTAATAAGATCAACAACAATCAGTTAGCACAGGTGGAATGTTGTGTTCATTCCACGAATAACAACAATAACAAAGGAAACTTATCAACCCCCGCCCTTTTAGACATCTCGGATGATTCATTACGAAAAATCTTAGTGTTTGGCCTTATTTTGTCGACGTTTGGATGACACTATAAATAAATATTCCATGAAGAATTTATAGCTACAACAAATATTCAATGTCAAAAACACATTCTGAACACAGCCAGGCATAACGGCAAAGCATTCGCGAGCGTGTGCGTGCGTGAACAGATGTACATACATACACAGAAGCAAGCATAACAAATTCATTCTGGTGACAACAAAGGGGACACCTTTAAGGAGCCGAAACAAAGCAACACGTATTTTGCAGTAGTAACCATACCTTGTCCATTTCGTTATCACTTTCCTCCTTAATGGTGCGATTGTCATCGTCATCATCGTCATTGTTCTCGGGCAACTCTCTCGCGATCGAATTGGATCGGGAATTTGATATCCGGGGCATTGCTTTCGTCAGCTGGAAAGCCTTCGTCAGGATATTTTGTGACGACTTTGAACGACCCACTGACGGACACCGTTCCATGCTGTTGCGTTCTCTCTGTCTCTCAATTAGATTAATGGTTTCGTATGTGTCGTCGTAGTGGGAATATGTTGGTGTATCGCGGCTACTGGTGCTGGTGGCACGACTTCGTCTTCCATGGGCAACCCATTCTTCTTGGACATGGTCGGTCCGCTTGAGGAAGTTTTGTATTTTTTCACTTAGAACAGCAGAGGCTGTACGCGGCTCCTCAAATGAGGGTGATGGTCGTAGTGACTGGCGAATCGGCTGTTTACTGCAACCGAGCACAAACGATAAATTGCCATCGAATACAACTGGGGATTGTTCCAAGTGCCTCATTTCGTAGGCGTCCAGCGGGTCTCCACCGACGTAGGTTTGTGGAAAAATACGGCGTGGCGGAGTTTGGAGACGTGACATTGAGCTGCGCGAAGCAACACTTGAACAAACTGAAGACGCTCTCGACGAAGAACTACGAATTGACAACGAGGGACTCGGGGAGCGCGTCACTAATCTCAGACGTTCCGTCGACATCCTAGTGTTGCTCGCACCATTGATCGAACTTCCATTGCGTTGCGTTGGATCTAATTTGGGAAGAGGGACCGTTAGTTTCACTTCCAAGGGTTGAGCATTGTCCGTTGTGGTGTCACCATTGGCGATACCATCAACAGGCTGTGCATCATTGTCACTTATCTCCATACATGATTTTGTAGCGCTCCTCAGCCCATCATCCGAATCATAGTTGGCAGAACGTAAATACGATGTGGGTCCATCCGCTCCGTTTGTTAATTTCAGGGCCGGACTTTTTTCGCGCTGTTTTGGCAGCAGTCTGATTTGCTTTCGCATGCGATTAGGATCCTGTGGTGGTTTGGGAGGACGCGGATGGGGTGATGGTGGTGGAGACATAACACAAGAGGAGGCATTGGTATTAACAGAGGACAAGGAGGAATTGCTGCCATTTTGACACAAAGGAGCAGATGTTGCACTTTGAGAGCCCAGTTGATCCCTTGGATTTCCCATGTGAGGTATATGTTTAGGTGTGGACTCCGCTTCAAGGGTCGTGCCCTTTTCGACTGACACCGGTGTCGTTTGCCGAGATCTTGAACCGCTGCGCAAGGCTAGATATACCCTTTCTAAAAATTTGGAATTTTCTGTTTGGTGTTGTTCTGGTGGTTGCGGTTGTGGGGACAGGGGTGGTGCATTGTTCAGTATAGCGTTACTAGTGGCAGTGTATTGTTGATTGGTCGGTGCAACTGCACAATCTATAGTTTCGGAAACACGAGTGTGGTGGGAGTGTGTATATGTTGTGGAAGTGTCTTGAAATGTTGCTGGCGACATTTTCATGTTGTCCGAGCCATTAGATTCCCCTGGCACCACCACTTCATTGTGTAGTGGTGACATAGGGATTTCTTTACGAGTTCTATCACCTATATATATATATATATATGTACGTAAACCAATCAATACCAAAATTATGACCAAAAAAATTTTTTTTAACTAGTTTCAGTTGTTCGTTTTATATTTCGTGTAATTTTGAATTTCGTAATTTCGTTGTGCCGATAGTGCCGATTAAATAATTTTGGAAATGGCTTCATCAAATTTTTCTGTGCTAAAATGAAATCGTTTTCTTTTTTAAATTGCTCGACATATTTTTAAGTATTTTTACTCGTTTTTTTGCTCGTTCCTTCGTATATTCTACACGTAACGCATTCTAATGATGTGAATTGATTTTGCTGTGCGAAAGTTATTTCTTTGCTAAGTTTTCTCACTTCTACCGCGGTCGCCCCGCAGACTCTCTTGTTTCAACACTTTTTGTTCGACGGAATTTGGTAAACAAATTTGCACTCACGACGACACTTAGAGGTTTTTCTTCCTCTACTGCTCGACAATGACTGATCGTTGCGATTTTCATTTTGCTAAGAAAATTCATGTCAGTGGTTCGAATACGGCGGACGTTGAAGAGAGAATATGTGTGGCAGCAGCAAACTATGTGCGTATTCTTCTTGTAATAGTTTACGGCAGATACTGATGTTAGAGAGGACGTTCTCGCCGATGATTGAGTTTAACATTACGTACGCGAACAAGAGAAGAGTTACGCGTAGGTGAGTGACATTTGGCATATTGCTGATGAAGTGTAACCACCCACAAGTAAATTTCCATAGAATGGAAACGAATGACTTTTCTTATTGAGATGGCGGAGGTGATTTTTTATTTGGCTTCAGCATAGTTACCCATATAAACGCTTCGCTTAGTTGTTCATTGAATTTGAGTTCACATCAGAATTCCCTATTCCGAAAATTATGAACATGGATGATCTGTCCGACTTGTATCCGTAAATTTGTTCAGATGCACATATGTTGATGTTTCTGTTCGATTATTTGATATATTTTCTGCATTGGGACGGTGCCCATTGCTGGATGAAGAAACAAAATACGCTGCCTGATAACAACTTGCAGAATGATTTAGCACTTGTAAAGTTCCACGATTAATACAACAGATGGTGGTAGTTTGCATGTGTGTGTACTTAGCACTGCCACAAACATGCAAGAGACATAATGTTTCTATTTTTATCCAAGTACAGAATATATTAATTTTGCGTTAAATATTCACTTTTTGTTTTGTTTGTTTGCTTGGCTACAATAATCATTGGAGCATATATTGACATAGTAAAATATAGACAAGTACACACGCAGCAGATACAGGGACGGACACAGATTATCAAAATAAGTTCCATCCAAATAAATATTAGCTTAAAAACCAATCAAAAGGGTTGATGGAATGAGAAAATATGTCTTTCATTGTCAATATCATCCCCAGATTGGGAAAATAGACATTAGACAAATATAATCATAATATATGTAGATGCTAATATAAATTAATAAGTTTATAAACTACCAGTCTACCAGTTGTTGTTAATATTTTAATTTTCAGTTTATATTTCAATCATACCTCGCGACACGATCTTATCCTTGACCCGTAAAAATATAATTTTGTAATATAATAAGCGTGCCAACAATAGCCAACGATCGCGACAATTTATCTATTTATTTTTTATTGCAAAGAATTTAATATAAATGTATATTTGCTTTTGACTTTGCAATATGTTCATCTGAGTATGGCGATCCTAGAGATCATGAAGACATTTCTGGCAACATTTTAGTACGCATGGTATATATATATATATATATATATATTAGGATGCCACCGAAAAAGAGAACTACTTTTTTAATTGAATAACAAGAAAGTAGTAGTAAATAAAAAAATGTTCCTATTACATCTCTGGCTCCATAACCAATACACTAAATTGATATAATTTGAAATTTTATAGAATTTACTGGATTTTTGTGTTAAAATACAAAACCATTCCTCCAGCACCTTCTAATATATAATTAAGTATGTATTAAAATATTTCAGAGCATCATACGTATCATAACATTACAATACTGTGAAGGCAGATATTTCCATGTAAGTCAAACGCTTCAAGAAAATAAATACAATAATTAAATTTCGCATTAATATACATACATATACATTACGTGGATATTCCATAAGGAATATATGGGATTTTTTTTTTTTAAATCTGACATCTATATACAGTTTGAAAAACGTGAATAATTTCCAGAGAGTCTATACGCCTTTAACGCGCATCCGATTTTGGCGTACACCCTAAAAATACATCGATCTATACCCATTTCAATGTCACAATATTTTTGGGATAAATCTAGTTCAGCTCTCTTTTGACTGCAGTTTTTAACCCGAATAGTGCTGTAATTATATTTTTCGAATTGTGGGACGAAACTTTCAGCGTCTCTAGATTGTGGGCCACTGAATTCAAAAATTTGATTTGTATCCTTTTTTCTTATCAGGATACTCGACAGGATCAATTTTTGGGCTGTGGCCGTATGTTCACACTAGCACTGCTCGGGTACAGGTTTTTTAGATGATTTATTGATCGTATTATGAGTGTGTCCATATGGTCACGCTAGCACAGCTCGGGTTAAAGTACTGTTTTCACAAAAGATCATGCTCTTTATGGAAGATCAAATGATCCACAGAAAACGCAATTAAAACACGGATATCATCATAGACATTTTTTTGTCAAATTTCGTGTTTGTACATGCAGTTCTAACAGATGAATTCTCATCAAAGTGATCTTACTTTAGACGGAATTTAAATAATATTACTGATCGCAGGTATCCAGATCATTCGACTGACACATATAAACATTTTCCCGGAAAATAGGTTTTTTTTAGAAATTAGCTTAGCATATGACACACACAAAATATATTAGATTACATTACTCAGATTCTCGAGTACAAAAATCATATAAATGAGCATATTTGATATTTTCTTTAGTGCGACTGATTACCCTTCAATCATAAAATTATATTGATGCAATGTTCCTATATATTTTAGTGTATATCATTGTAATACATATTTTTGCTAAATATTCATTTCTTTACTGACCTTAGCTTCAAGCTTTTGATTCTCAGTCTTCAATTCGTGTCGATCACTCTCAATTCTTTCCAGCTTGGCTCTCAAAGCAACTAGCTCCTCGTTGGCTGACTTTAATTGTTCTTCGGTACGATGGACATTCAATAAGGGAGTGACACGCACCAACAGTCGCCACCATGGCCAATCTCGAACAGCTAAGAAAGCTTTTACATTTCGCTGTATACAACGGACCGCCAACTCCTGCACAAATAAAATGACAAAATAAGTTAATGATTTTTAATCGATCAAATACAGCCTCGTAAGTTGAAGCCGATGTATGTGTTAATCGGATTCGACCAGCAAACACAAATGTTTGTATGTACAAACACTTACCTGAACTCTTCTTTGGGCCATTGCCCGGCGTGCAATATAGCCCCGACAATAGGCCTGTAACTGTATTATGCGATCCGATAGTAATTCGTCTCGTTTTGCTTCCAGTTCACTCAGAACACCAGAGCGGAATAGAATCTGTAATGATCAGAACACATGCGCATTGGATTTTAAATGTAAACTATGACTAAACTTTTGTATGAACATGTAGTTTGATTAGACGAACAATAATCAAACAAAAAGTCAATTTCGATTTTTCTGTAGTTACGTACGTTTGCATTTATGATGACGATATATAATTATGAGTTCCCACATCTAGATCAGATCCGTAAAGACTAATTAAAAAAACCGCTCGATAGTCCAATTTTTGAATGAATGGGTACACATGTACCACGGTTAATGACCTACGTAGGTAATAACTTTAAATATATAGGTGTAAAATATTTATAATTTTTCATCATTTATTGGTGAAAATACATCAAGAACGATTCCTCATAATTTGATCCAAATATCTTCATTATTGAAAATTTTACAGCATTAAAAAATGATACACATGTATCCGGTAGGGTTCGTAAATAAAACCTTTCGAAATCGAATCGAAATTTTCACCTTTCGAGTTATTTTACAACGTTACCTATAATTCGACGGGGCATACAGAAAAATTCAACTTCCCCACTTTTGTAAAATGTTGTGTACGGCCGTATTACCCAAATACGTCGAATCCATATCTTCAAGCGAGTAATACAAACCGCAAAACAAAGTTGAAAATTTTTTAAATTAATCCAAATATTTTATGTTCACATTCGAAATTTCCTATTTTCTGATTGTTTTGTTTTTATTTTCACCAAAAGAAAAATACAAAAAATACATTCTGTCAAAGTTGAAAATTTTCAACTTGAAATTTTGTACGCTCGACGTATTTCGGTAACATTCATATAAATACATGTGTTCTACTTTTGTGGTGAAAAACGTCGAACGAGCTAGTTGAATTTTAGGTAAGGCTGTTAAATATTCACTTGTTTTAATAATTATTTATTGATATGTAGCAATTTCTGGTACATTCGGAACTTTATTTTCTACATTAAGGGTGGCTTTCCGAATTCAGATACATTTTTCATCGGTAAATGGTTTTGTTAGCACTTCATTTTTACCTTACATTTTACCCTTTTACATTTTCTGAAAATTTTTTTTATAGAATTCTTTTTTTCTATAATACTTTGCGTTGTTTGTTTGTTAATACGTCAGCAAATAATAAAATAAACTCAAATCTATACACATACATACTTCATTTATATAAACAATTCGGATTTTGTGGAATAAAGTTATATATATATATATATATATATATATGAACGAAGGGGTAAAATGTAGCCCCACCTCCAAATTTAAAGGACAACCAACAGTATTTAACGCTTTAATGCACGTTGTTTGTTAAGCTTATATGCTCTCAACATTTAAAAAATTTACTTTTAAACTTGACAACAAACTTTATATATTCATCGTTTACAAACCCTAATAATAGTGCAAATTCCGATATGCATATAAGCGTTAAATACTGTATTTGAATACAACCAATGTGCTTTATTGTGTTATATAGTCACCCAATTCCCACTTTGATCCTTTCATTATAGGCATTTTGTGGGGGTTTCGGTACACGATAGTGTTTTTTGTATCGAATGCAAATTAATAGACTTTGATTGAAACAAATGTTTTAATGGTGATCGGTAAATAATTCTGTCTATATTATAGCTTCAATTTTAACATTTCTCATCTATCCATTTCATCAAGATACAAATTTTGCGTATTTTTGGCAAGGCCCTGTAAAAATACTTATTTACATCGATTTATTTTTTCTACGCGTTTGCTGTCGGCTGTGGTGTAGCACAGTACTTCAACATTGATCAAATTTGGTTAATAAAATACTCCTTGTGGATTTGTGTAAAATGTAGGCAATAAATTAAAAACATGTTATATGGGCTAAACTGTACGATAACATCTTTCCGCGAATACAAAACATTGTCCCTGAACGCTCTAGTATATTGAATTTGGCATTTCAATAAAACTTAGTAACTTTACTTAATTTCAATATGTTTAGTATTGAATCCCACGTAGAAAATTAAATCGGTTGGCCAATATATTATCTCCTAAATCAGACAACTTATAATCATGAGGTTGGAATTTTGTGTCTAATCTGCATATGGGTATTTCCGGGAAAATGTCAGCCAAAGTGAAATTACGACAAAAAGTACAAAGCATTGTAGCATGTGACATTTGATCCCAAACAATCCACTCAAAAATAGGACAGGCCAAAGCCCAGTATTTTTTGTGGTTTTTATCTAGAAATATAAAATCCTGAGATTCGCAATTTTTACCATTGAGAGTACTCTAAAAAATATTAGAAACAATTATTAAGTGTGAATTTAATGCTGCATTTGCATCTTTATTCGAAATTCGAATATAGGCAATATTTTGTGCATATCTATATTATGCTACTGTGTAGTGCTATTAACTTATGTGTTTTTATATAATGTTTAAAATTAATTTAACTTTTAAAATGCTATTATTTACACCACACATTTGTAGGGAGCGGTCATAATTTTTGTTGCATGTTTATAATCGAAAATCGAATATGAATGTAATAAAAGTGAAATTTAAATTTCATACACTATAGGGGGCATGAGTTACGAAATTTCGGTTGCCAAATTGTAACCTGAAAGTCAAAGCCAAACATATTTGGTGGTGGATACCAAAGTTTGCACTGTGTTGTTTTACATTTTCGTTTTACTTTCGTTTATTTCAGATTTGTTGACAACAAACAAATACTTTCCATACGTTTATGAAAACGTGAGACGCATAATTATTGGCCCGTATTTTAGTGAGCATATCCCAGGCACTGTCGACCAATGCCTGTCGTAAAATCAAACGTCGAATGGCGGAGTGTGGTGTTCGGTCAATCGGATTTTGTTGAATTGGCATAAGTCCATGGCACCACACCTAGAAAGATGGCACAACACACGAAGTGGATCCCATCCACTCGTGGGGTCATCACGTACACAACGACCGCATAATGCTGCAATACCAGCAGATAGGTACTGTCAATCACCATTTGCGGAATGAGTAGAGCGACGCATTGCCGGTGCGCGAGCGGCTGGCAGGTGTGCTGTTGTATTTGTGAAATTAGAGTGCGTGATTTGTGTTGAAATCCATTCCCATTTGCACCATTATGGATAGCAATTTTCGCCAAGACGTAGTATGTAATTCCCCCTTCGTCTCAATGACAATTTCCAATTAACTTTTAACATTATCAATTACAATAATTTTTTTCTTCTTTTCAGTGTAGTTTTTCACATTTCTTATTTCAACTACATATGCATGTTTATCAAATCGGATGAAACAAAACACATACCATATTCAATCAGCAGCTTCAAAATATAGCGGATAAAAATATGAGCTTGACATTGGATCTATAATACCCCTTTTTCAGCCTGTTCCGCTCTTTAATCCCTTTCTTATTACAATAGATTTACCGAAACGAGCCAATTTAACCCAATACAAATGCAAAAAAAAAAGGGAACACATTCATTCCCAGCACAGAAAGTTGCGAAAAAATCTGTAAATCTGGTGTTAGAGGATGTTAATTATTTGTATTGAAGTCAATTATTCTTCAGACACATCGAACGATACTTTTTCACTTTTCTTCCCAAATAAGGACAAAAGATTGAAATTGACATGTTCTGAGGGTTATTTGAGCAAAATTAAGTCGTTCATTCAAACTAATGCCTTTAGAGTTTTTTTTTTCCATATTTTTGTTTCTTAATATTGATCTGTCCCATATTTGTCTCTTGTTATGCTTTAATTAGAACGAACGAACATTGAATGAGGTACATAATTAAATGTTCTAGACTCTGCATTAATAGAATTGTCTAAAGCTTTTAATGCTCATTTTTTCTTAGCAAATTTGTAATTTAGCATGCTGTCAAAAATAATATTCTCTATTGTTACTCGGGGTTTAAAGTAGTATATGCTTATTATGTGTAGTATTGATGCTATTGTAAACAAATTAACATACTTATTGAAGAATTGAACATCTGAGGGAATGAGAAAACCAAAACCAAAATAAAACTAAGGAAATCAACAAATTTACAGGCTGTATATAAAACAAGAAACGCTGGCTTACGTTGAGGATGGGTGGGCGAAAAGCAAGACATCGGGGGTATGCGAACAAGCTGAAACTGAAACCAACGGAACCACAAACCAAAATAACAAAAAAAAAAATGTAATGTTTACATAACAAATATACATTATTTATTGCAGTATACGAAAATAAAATATACAAATAAAATGTCTAGATATGTTTATCGAAATACTGAACGAAATAAATTATCTAAATTCATACATAGTTATATGGGTGCATATATGTAATTGTGTGTGTAATATATGTACTATAGCATGTTCAATTGTAAACAACAACAATAACTAATTATATTAACAGAAATGAAAAATAAAAGAACAACTACAACTAAAACAATACATTGCATGTCCAAATAATAGAAATACATATTTCAATAATAAAAAGTACCACTCCATTCCAACAATTAACTATTGCAGCCGGATAGTTACCTCTTTGGTAAAGTTAGGAAATATTTCAACATGAGTCCGGATAACTTTAACCGATTCGACTTGGGCAATGCGACAAGTGGTACATACACGTCGATTGGCTGTAGTAATAAGCAATTCCCGTTTTGAGTCTCCTCCTTCCCGGACTGGGTTGACTCCTGCAATGGGGTCATCATTTAAGCTTGTAATGGAGGAAGAGTTCGATGGCTGATGATTGTTGGTAATTTCCATATTCTCGTTCGAAATATGGCCAGAATCATCAGAATCGGAAAAGGAGGATTCATGCTCCGTGGTCTTTAGTAACACTGTCGACGAAACCAAATCCAAAGAGTGCATGTTGCTCACGGTGGCAATACCACTATCCGTCGAGACCTGGCGTTGTGGAAGCGAACGTGTGGCGTTGTTGACTTGGACTACATTTACTAGGAGTTCGGAATGCTTGTTCGAGTGTTCCGCAAAGTCCGGCGGTATGATCTTACAGGATTCCAACGATGGCGGTAAGATTTTATCCTCATTGGCGTAGTTAAGTTTCGGCTGGGGTTTTTTGCGTTTCAGTGTGGAATTTTTACTCGAACCACTATCACCACTGGACGATTTAATGCGCACCACCGATTTGTTATTGCTGGCAATAGCCGAGATACTGGAATGCTGTTTGGTGTTAAGTGATTCTACTTTACGCAAGATCTGTTGACCCTTCTCCAAACACTTATCTAGAAGTTCATCGCTGGTTCTACTGCGTCTGGGTGGAGTGTGCGGTGCTAATGTGGTGGAAACGTGCCTTTTCTTGGACAAGCTTGAATTTGAATTCGTTCTTCTAGGACCTGCAGGATTTTGTTCGCGGGTTCGACTGCTTATTTTCGTGTCCATAATTTTGGGTTTAGAAGGCCCGTTGGAGCAGTCGGTACTTTTAATTGTTGGTCTAACATTTACATATTGGTTAGCTCTGTTCATACGCTTGACTGCAGTTGTCTTTTTGTCAGTTACAATCTTGCCCACTGTCTTGCAGGAGTTTGCGACAACGACGCTTTCACACTCTGCTTTTTTTTCAGACTCTTGAGGCAATTTCGTATTCAAATAGCAAAAACTCTTGCTCCTTTTTTGCAACGGTATTCTTTTGAGTATTGGAATCTTTGTTGAGTTAGATAACTCCCAGACCGATTTCGATTTTTGTTTCTGTTGCTGGATAAAGATGTGCCTCATTTGTCGTAGGCAAGGCGAATCCGGAGATTGATAGCATTTGCGACGTGTAAGTGACAGACACGATGCTGATTTGTGCAGTTTCTTGATGCTGGTCTCATGGTGACAATCTGTCAGCGCCGGAGAGAGGTTCTGTTGCTGTTGATCTGTTGATTCTGACAATTCTCCGTTTATAAATTTTTTATCGCAGACTCGGTCAACAGCGGGATTATTTGAGCTTTGTTTAGGAGCGTTCACAGCTGTTAAACTAATATTTGACGATATTTCTTCAGCCGGATTCTTTTCATCTTGGGCGCTGTCGCTGAACTGCTGAGGGGGCTCGTGGTAGTCAAACACGATTTTATCAAAGGTCTTTAACACTGCATTTAACTTGCTCTCATCGTGAGCCACTTTTTCCAACTCCTCAAATATTTCATCCTCCAGTGAGGTCTTGGCCAAACTCAAGCTCAATTGAGTTTCATCTTCATCACTATCTACATACGATGAGGGTCGTTGGGCGAAATAACTGGATATGCTGGGCGCATTTTGGGTGGCTGTTGAGGAAGACAATGATTCCGTTTTAATGACTTTGACACGGTCGGTTTTGTTTTGTAATGGCTGGGAATTCTTGTTGGTTAATGTGTATTTCCCGATTGATGAGTCCAAAGAACTCAATGCGGTCATCGACTTGGAATGCTTTCCAGCCTTGTACAGTTTTCCACTTATCTTTGGCGTTATGTTATCTTCGATTGTGTGTCTTATTTTGGAATAAAATTTGCCAACGCCATAGGCCCTGTTATGTGTTGTAGCGGGTATTATATTGGGGGATTTTCGTGAAGTTGTCGAGACAGTTGCACTGGTGCTTTGAACGGCCTTAAGGCCTTTTTTCGGTTTTACATAAAATTTATCCATTCTTTTAGACTGGCAATTCACAAAATCAAAGGTGCATTATTTTAAAGTTCGGCCCAGTAGATAATGTTTCGCTTGAAATCACTTGTCGGTTTCCTCGCTTTAATATAAACTGTTTTATTGTAGCACGCTCAGGCCAACACTTTCCATTTCAAGTAACAACTCCCTCTTTGTTTTACGTTTGTTAAACTCGCGTAAACTGTTCCAATCAATGTTCAGTCAGTTATCGCGTCTTTAGTCCGACTGATTGCAGTGCGCATGCGCATACTTGTTGCTGATTGTATTCGAAATGTTACATAGTGGCGGTTCAAACCATTGGCATGACGAGCAAAACAATTGATTTCGCTGTCATCAAACATGTTCGCTTGCTAGCCACCAGACAACACTGGCTGTGATTTCAGCGAAAGTTTAGCAACCGCCACTGTCGCTTGCTGTGAACACATACACAATACATGTTGCATATAAATGCGTAGCTAAGGCAACTAGTTACCTGATGGTGGCGATTGTTATGCGACTTATTGCCATTTATGCTACAAGTGCGCGGGTTCAAAGCGCCAAAGCCTCGGTAACAACAAAACATATATGAAACCACCACATGTGTTAAAATATGGTACGCACAGTCAGAAGTAGTTTATTCGGTTGACAATTTTTGAAAAACACAATATAAGTTGGTTCTATCTAGGGAACCTATATACAAACTATACACATGTTGTATATAACCACCAACCTTAGAACGCATCAAAATAACGCATCAAACTAAATAACTGGGGAATATCAAATGTACTATATAATCGAATTGTATATTCTTTTGGAACTGATTTTAGGTGAATGCTCGACAGAATAGTAGGGGAGACTGTGGACCATTCGGCACTTTTTTAGAACTCTACATCTCAGTACTTATGGCTGTTTATTGTCCTCTGATTCTTAATTATAAAAAATAGTACCAAACCAACATATAATAAATTAGTATAAGTTAAAATTTTTTACAGTTTTGTAAAAAAAATCAAATTCGCCGAATGTGCCCCTTCCCGGCGTAGCTTCGGCATTTGATGAGACACATTCGGCACCATAGTCATAGCCTGATCCTCTAAATGTTCCATTTTGTTTTAATATGCGTTTTTTTAATTTTAAGGCTATACACACATCAGACCACACACACTATCAGAAATAGCTTTTTTCTATCGCATTTTCGTCAGTAAAAGCACGTCTTATATATGTAATTTCGAACCATATTAAAAGGATGTTTTTAAAGACAAACTCAAAAACATTTTAAAGAAATAATATAGCTCTATCTGTATATGGCCGAAATGCCGAATCTATACCCAAAGGTACTTTTTATAGTTTTTTTTCATTTTTTTTATCAATCTTCTAAAAACATTATATTTTTAATTATTTTTATAAGAATATACATTGTAATTAACTACTTTTTAATAATACTGCCTTAAAATTTGACAAGTTTTTTTAATCGAAATATTAATGAAATGGAAATATTACCAAAACATCTGTAAAAATAACAAAAACCGTGCACCTAAATAAGTTTATTAACTAGAGATTTCAAACTTTGAGACAGTTATTTATTTTGAAATTCAATACTTATGGATGTACAGTGAGAGCTTCATATCGAAAACGCGATTGCCGAATGTGGCCCGATGCCGCATGTGCCCTATTCTCCCCTACATACCAAATATGTATGTACTCACATTAGTTACCCACGGTACATATAGCATAGACTTGGGCACGATTGACACGTACAACTGCATTACCTTTCGGAAGCAGACGTACCAGCCATCATAATAAGCGCCTTAATTTCAAATGGCAAGTCACTGCCACAAATTTCCACACTAAAATCATAGAAATTAAGCCCCTATAACCTTCTTTCGGTGTTGCAGACATCAGCGAAGTGTGAAACTGAAAATTTCACCACTATAAAAAGAATTAGTGATAATAAGTCATATGAACTGTTGTGTCCAAAAACAATACAATTAATAGAATGGGTTGCTCGCGACTTGTCTGTCTTCCAACGGACGATCGCCATATATAGAGAATATATTAATTTTGGCATTGCTATTAACTAAATAATTTAATGAAATATCATATTACTTACAGCAAACATAGATCTAGCTGATGTAAAACATATCTACGAATATTGATTTTGACAGAAAATGAAATTGCGTCTATGTTCCTGGAGATTGTAACGCCAGTCGACTGTCTGTCTGTTTGTCTACGCGAAACTAAACATATCAAACACCACATCACAGCTTAGCAGACATTACAATTGCCAGTAATCGTCGTTACATGGTCATGTCTCTCTCTTGAACTTTTATTTTCATCTGTGCATACGTCGACGTCGTTATCCGATTCAGCAGAATGCCACTAAAAATGTCAATTTAATTGTCAATCAGTGGCAATAATGCCTCTTGCCGTTGATAGTAAGTGGTGTGGTTATTATCGCACAATACAGGGTCGGTCAAGTGAAGCATTAGTGCATTTCGTATTAAGGAGAAATTGTATGGGCCGACAGTAATTTGCACGATTGTTTGTCACTCAATAGAAAAATTATTATTCAAAAAGTAGTAAAACTTTTCAAATGTATAAAGAGAAAATTGAAAACAATTTCGATTAATACAAGATTCTTGCAGGTCCCGCAACAAGGCATAGAAGATTCTTGCAGGTTCCGCAACAAAGCATTTTTGTATCTATGATCCATAATAGATTTTGGTTCGAGACATACTAGATTAATAACTTACGTAGACAGTCAAATCTATTTATTGAGAATTTCCACCCACGTTCATTCTGTTGTAACTGATACCGTTTCTTTAGATTAATTCCCAACTTGTTGGTACATTTGTACCATTATTTTCCACTTTAAGGGTTACTTTCCGAATTAGATACATTTTTCACAATGATTTGATTTCTGTTATCTTTAGTTGGTACTTAATCTACTAAAACGAAATTGATTTTTAAATATTTTTTTCGTAACATAAAAATTCAAATTTGATGTTATTCATAAAAACTGTAATTTGGAAAAAATGCATGCAATTATTTTCTATCTAAGGGTTTTGAAGTAAAACATATATATTTAATAATATTCCAAACAAATCTAGCGCTGATTTGGAGCAGAGGTAATTTTTTGATGATGTGACCATCATAAGAGAACACCGTCTAATCGAAAAATCCAGTTTTATTCAAGGACGAAATCAAATAATTTCATTACTTTTTGTATCATAATCATATTATCACTTGTTATTTCATATTTAATAAAAACCACAAAATACGTAAAATTTATTAAACATGTACGTTTTAACAACTAATCCACAATCAATATGATGAATTATTGTATACAATTTTGTAATAAGCTGTAAACAAATACATTTTTACAAATATAGATTTCGGTTAGAAGTATTAACACTCCTCGGAAACTATCGTAATTGTAGGTACGCACATTTTTACCAAATATATATGCACTTGCCAAGCCGCAGAGCAATAATAACAAACGCCACATTTCCTGGGCAACATTCCGATGTGAGCACAGCTGCAACAACATATTAACATAGTCATGTTGGTCATGCAATAGGCTCAGCGTCATATTCAAATGCTGATCTATCAACCGAGATGTATCACATGTCCCACCTTCGAAACCGATAACTCTATTCGATGTGATTATGTACATCGATTATGAAGGCCTTAAATGATCCCGTCGATCCATCCGTTTGCGCGGATATCTGTTGTATTTCGCGTCTTACTTATTATTTGGCAATCTTTTGCGTATGCAACCACCAACTAAATTGATAATTCATGTCTACGGCAAGACATTACAACTCGACACAAGCAAAATACCAGACTTAACGTAGCAAGTAGTAGCAGCAGATGTCCGGTTGACTGACTACGAAGCATGATTCTGGGCTACAGTAGTACAACATTAATCCACAGGGTAAACATATTAAATTATCATCTGTGCAATGTTTTCTTTTCTTCTATTTTGTGCATCTCCAGAGTCAGTAGCTAGGAGAAAGGTAGTCATTGTTGCATGGACATGATGTAAATGAACTTGACCATGAAAAAAGTGCAAATCCGAACTGACCACTAGAATATCAGGCATTTCTGTATGACGTCAGTTACTTGTTGAGTGAATAACAATCGCCACAAACTTATTTTAACATATATTTGTTCGTTTGTCTTCTTGAAATGTGTATGGCCGTTAAGTGCAAATATTACAATAGGTAAGCCGACATTCAAGTGGAATTGTTATGAAAATATATATATATAAGCTAAGCTGGCTTATATGTATATTTTCATACACCATATTTTATTAAAATATGTATGTAAAATAAATAAAAAAATAAAATAAATATGTTTTGCTCTGTTCACGAATCTGCAAGATTATTGAACTAATCGAAATTGTTTTCGATTTTCCATTAAAACATTTTATTACTTATAAATATATAAATTTGGTAAAAACATTCACGTTTCAAAACATATTGCAATATTGTGGCATTTATTATTCTTTATTGTGTTTCCAAGTTTTGTGAAACTTTGGCGCTATTTTAAATTCTAAAACAATTTCGACTAACAAAGCTACTATTGACTATTGATCTGTTCCTGTACTGCAAGAATCTACTACTTTTTACTACGATAACGAATTTTCCTTTATGATATCGAAGAAAATTGTAAAATCTAGTACATGCTTGCAGTACGGGAACAGGCCATATACAAGCACTGCAAGGCACATTTTATACGACTTCACTAAAAAAATATTGATGAAGGTTTTAACCATTTCAGTGTTTTTGTCGAATATATTCAACATTTAAAAGTACTCTCTTTCTTTGCGATATTTCGGTTATCCTATGTACCGTTACAATTGATGTTTTTTTGTTTTTGCTGAAAGACAGGCGAAACTGCCCGAGGGTTAAAATAAAAATTGCTATTTTTTCTAAACTCTGTGCCTTTATATGATCTGAATACAAAAATTTAGATTTTTTGACACTGAAAGGGTTAAAACTATATATATATATATATATATATGTGCCAGATTGTAGAGGAAATAGAGGACATACATATTATAGATGACAGCCAGTAAAATAGATGATTGGTAAAAAACATATGTAGAATTTTAGATTATTGCCCTTAACTTAAACCCATGTACTTTCATTTATCCCAACAAGAAAATTATTGGGAAATCTCTCATATGGTAACAACCATTCAAAATACGTATTTTCAACTAAGCAAACAACAACAAAGAGACTTATAATAATCTGCTGCACTATACAAAGCAACTTCATTCTCTGTGACAATGTACGTATGGAATCGCTGAAGTAAGAAACGACCCACAGTTCAAAAATTTATTTCTTTTCTCATTGCTGTGTAATAAAAATTTGATAGTGAAAGTGGCATAGCAACTACGCGCCTGGTCAAGTTATTTGCTGTTTATTGAAGATGTTCGAAGTTAACGCTGATGGTGATTCTTCTTCACAAGGTGAAGGTTGCAAGGTGAGCAAATGCAATTGTAAAACAATGTCTTTACATCTTGTTACATGTTGCGATTGAGCTTCAGAGTACTAAAGTAGAATAATTAGTTGACTTTTTCTATGAAGTACCCATTTCCTTAGGACGATATAGCGATAAGATTGGCATGTATATGGTATTCCAAAAATATAAAATTTCATAATTTTCATCTGAATAACATCAGAATGGTAATGAAATTTATGGCGGTCAACTCTATGGAGATAGATTGATATTTTGATACTATATTTATTTAGGCTAAGTTATTATTTGGAGCGATGTTGTAGGCTTTACTGCTTATTTTAGCTACATGTTTCCTAGTTATTGTTTGTAGATAAAAATTGCCAGCTGCTATTATAGAGATTGAGATTCTTTTTAAGTTCTCTTATATTTTAATGCTTTATTCCTAAATACAGATTGATCTGCAGCCAGTTTTTACAACAATCAACTGTAAAAACAACTTGTAAACCGTGTTATTGGCAAATGAGACTAGAAAAACCAGTGACATGTTCGTTTGTTCTTTTCGTCAAGTTTATGCCCAGCTTGATGGTGTGTTTTTTTTTTTTTTTTTTTTTTTGAGATGTTGTTTTTGATATTCATTTGCAACTCACATGCCACTTAAAAGCAATCACAGTATAATGTTGGCAATCCATCAGTCGGTGGCTTCCAGAAACTGTTGGCAGCAACTGTAAAAAGCGTTATTTAATTGCAACGCAATGACCTCTACAGAATGCAATGACACTTGTGCGACCAGCCCCTCACACATCGTTGTCACAAAGCTCAAACATGTGTACAACATTGGGAGATTGATTCTAAACTATTGCTAGCCAAATTCTCAGAAGTTGGAAATTAGTATCTGCGAGAACTAGCTATGAAAAATATAAAAAATTATACGTTCTTATCTAGGTTTATTTCCATTGGCTTCATTGCCTCAACGAACTCGCTCCACTAGGCAAAAAACACTGAAATCATGTTGAATCACTGTGCCGCAGTTTGAGATTCAAACAAGTTGTAAGACTAATCTCCGTCGTGTTCTTTTAACCAATGGAAGCCTTTAGAACCAATTGCATTTGTTGTCAGTACGCGTAACGCGATGGTTGTTTGTTTGCCTGCGGTATAACAAGCCTCCAATGTAAGTGACGCTGTGGTAGTTTGCAGAATCGAATTTAGAAAATACAGCATTTGGAAATCTCAGCAATAATCATGAATATTTTAAATTGGAAAATGGTTGTCTTCCAACTGGTCTGGTATTGCAGTGGTTAGTTATGATGTGGGAAATTGAAAAGCACAACTGAGACTCACATTGTTTCATCCACTGTCATAGGTTCACATGCTGGCGTGGGTCTCTCATATCGTCCCGGTAAATGTGACATTTCCATATTCAGTGTCGTACAGGATATGTTGCGTAATGAGGTTAGAGCTTTACTTAATCCCCGTATTCGGTACTTGGCTAGCCAACAAATGCATTACGACTTGTATACTTCTCTGAATCCCAACGAGCGCCACATTCTACGCACAGGCGACATCAAGGCATTGCGAAGTTCACACTTCAATCCCAAGTGGCCAGTGAGGTAGGTCGGTTATATAAGTGATGTGGACATTGTGATTTTGTTTGTCATCTGTGTACGTTTCAGAATATCAATCCATGGTTGGGCCGGAAAAAGCACCTCTTGTTCGAATGCCGCCATCAAGGATGCCTATTTGTCCAGAGGAAAATTTAATGTCATTCTGGTGGATTGGAGTAATATTTCGCATGACATTAGCTATCCACGTATTTCGCAACAATTTTCCGAGATTGCTGCAAACGTTGGCAAATTCATACGTTTTTTGCAAAAGGAAACCGGCATTGAGTGGAGCAACATCTACTTGATTGGCCACAGCGCCGGTAGTCATATATCGGGTTTGACGGGCAAACTATTGAAACCACAACAGATTGGTGCAATAGTGGCATTGGATCCAGCTGGCCTGGCACAACTTGGCTTGCCGGCAGATTTTCGTTTGGCACCCGATGACGCCACCTATGTCGAGAGCATACACACGGACACCACACATTTGGGCAATCCGAGCTTTGAGCTTAGTCATGCATCGTTCTTTCCCAATTGGGGTCAAGGCCAGCCACATTGTCCAAATGCAACGGCAGCCGAATTTGATTTTGCTTGTGATCATTTTGCAGCCTTGTATTTTTTTGCTGAGTCTGTGCGCAAACCAAAACTGTTTGGTGCGATGCAAGCCGTGCCATCGTCGTGTATGAAACACCACAATTGTACATGTCGCGAAATGGGGGCAAAAGAATGTGCGGCAGATGTTTATATGGGCGGTGAGCCCCTAATGCCCAAACGCGGTGTATTTTATCTAAGTACACGACGTAGTCATCCCTTTGGTTTGGGCAACATTGTTCGTGTTCGAGCAACGATGAAGCCGAATTTCTTGGAAAGTAGTGTTCTACCAACTCAAATATTTTTCAAAGGTTGATTAAACGTCGCTGGTCGTTCAATTGACCGACCAGTTAGATGTCGCAAAGCAATAATTGTGGAAGATAAGTTTATGGGATACATTTTAAATAAATATAATTTTTAAGCAATAAAGATTCAATAATTGCTTGTAACCCATCTCAAGTTTTTTAAATGCTAGCCACACATCTTCAAACAATCTGGATATGCCATGGACAAAATAATAATAAACAACATATAAACATAAACATTTATGATAGTTACTAAATATGTATTTTAGATACATTACTAAAGAATATACTTTTCCCCATTGCGAATTTGTATAACCCACGTTTTGTATCTGGGAGGACAACAATTGCTAGAAATTAGTAAACATTTTTTAAAACAATTGCATATTTGAAATAACTCAAAAGTTGCCGTAGGAAACAATTCTGTTACAGAAACCGGAAATGAAAATAGACAATATATATATATATATAGCTTCAAATTGAAGTGCTAACCGACCACACTTAACTGGTTAATTTTGTTGCTAATATTTTTTGGCGCATTACAATTAAATAACATACTCGTTAGACAAAAAACATGTTGAAAATGAATTGAAATAAAAAAAAAAATAACGACGTTCAATTCGATCAAATAAAGCCGTTCATATCTACATATTAAGAAGTTTTTTTTTTTTAAATACTGCTCAATTGGTAACTTGTTATTTTTTAATATATGACGTGTATATTAAAAGAGTAATTGTCTGGTGAATCATTCAGTTAAAAAGTTTACATTACATGTATATTAATTACTGTAATAATTATCACGAAATTAACACCATGTCATTGCCCCTTTAAACAATTTTATATTAAAGGGAAGCACAGTGCACTGAAAATGCACATAACACTAGGTTGACATATGTAGTTACTTATTATTAGGATTAATCTATATATGGGAATATGGGCAAGGGTGTATTTGGATCCACTTTTTTACTTATGTTATAAAACAACTTTAAATACTCCAAAACTATGATAACATAATTAAAAAAATAAGTAAAATGTAAATGTATCTTTAAAAATCCACTCCCATATATTCCTATTTTCTGGGTATAAATGTAGTCAATGAAAAATTAATTTTGTACACCACCATATATCTATAGGCGTTATAGTTTCATAGATTTTTTACAGCTGAGTATTAAAAATTGACATACCTGACTTGGACCAATTCGATATGTTGCAGGATCGATTTCGTTCGCTGATAAAATTTGTTCAATAACAACATCTTTGCTACCCTCGCCAGCTAAAAGGCCGAACCGTCTCACGAACTCGGCAAGAGGTACAGATTCAGGAAATCCCAATCGATGTAACCTGGCAGCATCCAAAACCTGCGAACCTCGCAGCTGTAATTAGATAAAAAATGAAGACTTTCATGCACTAACACTCTTAATACTCGTTGGAAAGACAATACTCTAATTGTTAGATTATAGACATAACAATTGTTGTACTTACTTGGCTTCTGAGCAGCGGAATATTGACAAGATCTTCTTTAGTATTTTGTATTGCCGATGTGTTTGGTGAACCGCTAACCGAGAGGCAGGAATGTTGTCCAGCATTATGCTGAAGTAGATAACAATGAACAAAGTGGGTGCCAGTTCGACGCAATGTATCAATGATACCGTCCACTGTAAATTTCACTTGCAACATAATGGAATTTCGTTTTACTCCGGCCGAGGTGAATGATCTGCGAATACTCGAAACTCGGCGTAATGACTGAGTACCTTCGAGGCCTGCAAATGATCCACAAAATACAATACCACCAGAGCTACGAGTCAAAGATCCTATATAGAGACGACTTATTTCGTCTCGTGAAGAGTCCTGTAGCAGAGATCCAGCATTGCGTATGGCTGGATGTTCGCGACTATTTCGCACCCAACCATTTACACTGTACAATACAGGATTTGTGCCTTGTAAATGCTGCAGTATAAATTGTTTCGGCCCGGTACATTTGCGCATAAGCGTTTGATGCTCTCGGTCTCCATAGTGCGAAAACAATCGCTCAAGGAATGTGTCATCATTTGAGTTGGGGTACATAGACTCCTCATCTAAAAGCCACAACAGACCTCGACGGTCCTGTTCCCTCAAGTCTCTCTGTGATGAACGAACTACGTGGTTTTGTGGCGCTTTATCAATCAGTGCAACCAACGGCGCTGGACTTAATTCAGATACACATTCCGTGTCAATTTCGACTAATTCTTGGGCATAACGATCCCTTGGTGCCACCAAAGTATTGTGATGGAAAAGTAACTGTAAACGCTCCTGTAAATAGTTATGCTTCAAATCGGATAGAGTTGCTCCGATTTGTGATCCACAACTTGCTGGATTTTGAAATCCAGGAGTGTCAACCAGAACTACTGAAGCAATTGTATGCGAAGCCGTGCAAATAGTTTTATTTATGAGTGCCACGACCGCCGCTAACGCCTCAGAGTAAAGGCCTATTACCAATGCATCTAAACATTCCCAAGCTAGCTCCAAACTATCCATAGATGCCTTAGAAGGACTTGTGCTGCCCGCCGTATTAACATTAAAAGCTGCCCCGGCCAAATCTTCAAATGAAACTCCCAGTAAAAGGGCAGCCTTTCGTGCAGCTGAGGGATTGGCAAACTGTGTACGAGCATTGGTGCCACTACCTACGACAGTAACGCCAGCCAAGCCCAAATGATATATGGAAGCCAATATACTCCAAATACCCTTAACAGCTTTCGGATCAATATTCAAAGTTTCGAATGCCAGTGTGGTGCGCATAAAATCGGCGGCTGCTCTTTGACGGTCCTCCAATTTTTGAGACAATGATACAAACGGATGGTTATCTTCAGCTGGTAAGCTATCAATGTAAAGTTCCTTTTGTAGAGATCCAGCTGCACCAGCCAGTAGACGAGACATAATGTGGAAACTGTACTCATTATTTAGGCGTCGACCAGCTCTTTGGCGCTCTGGCAGCAATACCTGTAATAAATATATTTTCAATAATAATTTAACAAGAACTATGCACGTGGAGTATCTGAGTATTACCTGCAAGGAAGCCGACGCTATTTGTCCAGACTGATCAACGTCTAAACTTAACAACTGGGTCATCCTTGTTGCGTTGGAATTTAAGCAGGTCTTCGTATTGCCAAATGATTCCAAAATAATGTTGATAGAATTCACTTTTTCCGCATTGAGGAAGTTGTTAACCGACCCTGAAAATCAATTAAAATTGAATGATTGAAATGTGTAATTTTTTGTTAGTATTGGAAAACAAGATTTGAAAACAAAAAAAAAAAAACATTCCAACTTATTATATATTTATTTTTTTTACAAAAACTGAAAGCATGATCCCCTACCTGCTGCTAATGCCAAATAGTATAGTGCATGCTTAAAACTTGTCGTCTTCCCCGAACCAGAACGTCCCATAAATATTAGACTTTGATCCCGACGTGTCTCTAGCATAGCCCTGTAGGCGGTTTGAGCCAAGGAATATATGTGTGGGGGCATATCTTCAGTTTTGCAACCACGGAACATGGAAACAACCTGAAAACAGAACACGAATAATATTTTTTTCGTAAACCGTCGTCAGCATCACGACTAGCCAGTTAGTAGTTGTAACGAATATGTGCGTTTTACATACCTTTTCTGAGTACAATGACAAAGGCGCCATTGGGTTGACCACTAATAATGTGGGCCCCGCTTTGGTATGTATTAAATTACTGGCAAATCGTTGACGTAGGCAGTGCAATACGGACGCCTCGTTCAAGTGCTTCAGCTCGCAAATGTCTTCAACCAAATCTAATGTGGAATCATTTTGCTTCTCAATGTCATCTTCGTCCACAGTCATTTCTTCGCCATTATGCAGTAGTTGTATCACCACCTTGTGAGTTTCTATGTGGGCCTTGGTTTGAGGCAGACGCAAAGCGGAACAGAATCCTCCACGATGCACCAGCCATACTCGATCACCGCCACCGTTGTTCTTATTATCTTCCATCGCAGCACAGCCATCTTGTGAACCTTCATGCAGAAATACATTTCCATTGCGAGACTATTATGCAAAGAAATGGAAAAACAAATACATAACTATAATATTCGATAAAAATCGGAACAAAAATAATTATAATAAATACATCAGCATTAGTGGGATTCTGTAACTCTTGGCCGTCACCGATAAATATCGGTAACTATGAATCACACAAATTTGGCATGTTGAAAATAGACGTTGGTGTTGTTGTTAACGTCTTCATATCTGTCTGTAGTTCTAAGCGACAAATTTATTTTAATCATTTCCTAAACGAATATATTCGTTAATTATCGACGACTATCGTCGGTAATTCTTTATGTACTCAGTGTCGGCGTACGCGTCTGATCAGTTAATATATCAACACAATGTTAAAACTCCACTCCAGAAGAAATGTCACTGTCACAATCACGAGGATTGGAGACGGTCCGTGTATCAGAGAACAAATCGAAATAAAAATAGCCTGCAAATGGAATAAGCGACAAATTTACAAATCCAAATTGTTCGATGTGACTGGCTGACAGCCCATGAGAGTGTATATATGTGTGTGCATGAAGATGCTAAGGCATTTGACTTTATACGCCCCTAATTAACACACTCGCCTATGTACATAAATAACATAATGAATTGTAAGTTCATTTTGACAGTAGTGTCTTAAAATATTGCAAGTTGAATAACCTTTTTATTAGTTTGATGGTTACATATTACCTGGCGGTTACAAACGATACTTGTGAGCAGATAACAGTAAAGACACAAACCATGTTTTTACCAATTCCCTTTTATTGATTGTCTAGTAATGGTCTTTAATTGTTCATCAACTTTTTAATCGTGAAAACCCAACCAGAACAGGGTAAAAACTCAAAATATCTTAAAAAAAACGTAATTATAGAATGGTGCACGAATATTCTGGTTCGAATAAAAATATATATTTTTATATTTTCTTCAAAAAAGCAATTTTGACAGTAAATGATTTGATTTGATTTCCTAAATGTTACAAATATTAAACGTGTTATTTGTGATCGATCAAAATTTCATGGGAATCGCATGCACATGACTAGAACGATTCTGTTATTCGATATAGTAAAAGTAACAAACTGTTGATATCACAAAAACTCATAACGTAATTGTATACACCGCGTATCATAACTATAGACGCACCCTTAATTCAATTGGTATGTTAGTTGACAAATAAAATGGACCCATTAAGTTATTGTTCACAATAAAACGATCAAAAAGACATATTATTCAACAAAAATAATTAATTTATACTTTATGGTTTCGCCGAATTCTGCACTTTCAAAATTGCTGGAATTGCATAACTATAGACGCACTTTTACAAAATTAAAAAAAATTATTTTTTAAAACTTAAATAAAACAAAATAAATTTTATAAATAATGGGTAGGGCCTCCTTTATTTTGAATAAGTTCGAAAATTTTATCCATCACACTGTTGATCAAAATTATTCGCATGTCTTCATCGATTGACCGCCATTCATCGAAAATCACTTCTTGGAGGTAAAATACAGTTTGGTATTGGAGGTTTTCTGCATAGACACGATGAGTCAAGATTCCACACATGTTCTCAATCAGATTCTGAGTATGGCGACTTTTATGAACTGGTGCGTTGTGCTGCTAAAAAACGAGTCCTTGCTTGTTGCTGCTTTCCCAAAATGGCAATAATTTGTCTTCCATTGAATTCATCCGACAACATGGAAATGTCAAATAAAGCATTCCGTGGCTATAAAATGCTCCCAAGGTGGCGGTTACCGAAATATGGTTATTTCTTAATACGATATTTCGGTGGCGGTTCCTTAATGGCCTTGGAATTCAATGGAGTACGTTCAAGTCTTGGAAAACAAATTATTGCCATTTTGGGAAAGCAGCAACAATCAAGGACTCGTTTTTTAGCAGCACAACGCACCAGTTCATAAAAGTCGCCATACTCAAGTATGGTTAAAATCGAAAAATATTAAAATTTCCGACCAGAATCCGATTGAGAACATGTGTGGAATCTTGACTTATCGTGTCTATGCAGAAAACCTCCAATACCAAACTGTATTTTTACCTCCAAGAAGTGATTTTCGATGAATGGCGGTCAATCGATGAAGACTTGCGAATAATTTTGATCAACAGTGTGATGGATAAAATTTTTGAACTTATTCAAAATAAGGGAGGCCCTACCCATTATTTATAAAAGTTATTTTATTTTATTTAAGTTTTAAAAAATAAATTTTTCTAATTTTGTAAAAGTGAGTCTATAGTTATGCAACTCCAGCAATTTTGAAAGTGCAGAATTCGGCGAAACCATAAAGAATAAATTAATTATTTTTGTTGAATAATATGTGTTTTTGATCGTTTTATTGTGAACAATAACTTAATGGGTCCATTTTATTTGTCAACTAACATACCAATTGAATTAAAGGTGCGTCTATAGTTATGATACGAAAAAACGTAATGATAGTGATGTGCACAAATAGTTTTGTTTATTTATTCTTCAAATAATAAATTTGACAGTCAATGAAGACTTTGACCTGTTAACCTTATGAATAAACCTTGACATGGTCCATTAAAAGTTCTCCCAGGAGGCGAATTCATACCAAAGTCTTCCCTAACTGTCAAATTTGTTAATTAAAAAATTATATCTTCCGGTAAAATTTCATTTCATTTTTGAAACATAAAATGCTCAGTACTTCAAAAACCCAATACGTATTCCCCAATTCAATTCAAACTCTTTCACTGAACTTCTGACTAAAAACAACATTTAGTAAAAATTTTTACAACATATCAAGTACATGAATTCCGAATTATTTACCAAATTGTCATATTAAACAATGTTAAATTTGTTTTTGCAAAATAGTCAGGCTGAATCCCAGTTTGTTGTTTTTATAAAAAAACAACTATTTATTAGTGGGGAATGTATGGCATTGTTTGCCGAGGGGTAAGGCAGGGAAGACTATAGTTTCGGATCACGCCACTGATCCTCATCAGTTCCCTTAGTTTTTTGTTGGGATATTCTCCCCAGAAGCTATTGCTTCTATACAAAAAACCTTTCATACCCAAATGTCTCTTGTAACAAAGCGAAGTACTTAGCTGACCAACGACATAAACTGCATGAGAATTTCGCTGGAGCCTCACTTCGAGGTTAACAAGGCATTTACAAACAATACCACACCTTTCCCACTGTTGTGTGTTGTCACATCGCGACAAATGCACACAACGACTTTGTTGGTGTTGCTAGTATACAGCAACAAACCAAACAGTTCAACCGTGCCTGCGTCTACAACTTCAGTAGTGTTGGCGGTTTATTTGGGATACCATTTGTATTTTGTTTTTGCAAAATAGTCAGGCTGAATCCCAGTTTGTTGTTTTTATAAAAAAACAACTATTTATTAGTGGGGAATGTATGGCATTGTTTGCCGAGGGGTAAGGCAGGGAAGACTATAGTTTCGGATCACGCCACTGATCCTCATCAGTTCCCTTAGTTTTTTGTTGGGATATTCTCCCCAGAAGCTATTGCTTCTATACAAAAAACCTTTCATACCCAAATGTCTCTTGTAACAAAGCGAAGTACTTAGCTGACCAACGACATAAACTGCATGAGAATTTCGCTGGAGCCTCACTTCGAGGTTAACAAGGCATTTACAAACAATACCACACCTTTCCCACTGTTGTGTGTTGTCACATCGCGACAAATGCACACAACGACTTTGTTGGTGTTGCTAGTATACAGCAACAAACCAAACAGTTCAACCGTGCCTGCGTCTACAACTTCAGTAGTGTTGGCGGTTTATTTGGGATACCATTTGTATTTTGTTTTTGCAAAATAGTCAGGCTGAATCCCAGTTTGTTGTTTTTATAAAAAAACAACTATTTATTAGTGGGGAATGTATGGCATTGTTTGCCGAGGGGTAAGGCAGGGAAGACTATAGTTTCGGATCACGCCACTGATCCTCATCAGTTCCCTTAGTTTTTTGTTGGGATATTCTCCCCAGAAGCTATTGCTTCTATACAAAAAACCTTTCATACCCAAATGTCTCTTGTAACAAAGCGAAGTACTTAGCTGACCAACGACATAAACTGCATGAGAATTTCGCTGGAGCCTCACTTCGAGGTTAACAAGGCATTTACAAACAATACCACACCTTTCCCACTGTTGTGTGTTGTCACATCGCGACAAATGCACACAACGACTTTGTTGGTGTTGCTAGTATACAGCAACAAACCAAACAGTTCAACCGTGCCTGCGTCTACAACTTCAGTAGTGTTGGCGGTTTATTTGGGATACCATTTGTATTTTGTTTTTGCAAAATAGTCAGGCTGAATCCCAGTTTGTTGTTTTTATAAAAAAACAACTATTTATTAGTGGGGAATGTATGGCATTGTTTGCCGAGGGGTAAGGCAGGGAAGACTATAGTTTCGGATCACGCCACTGATCCTCATCAGTTCCCTTAGTTTTTTGTTGGGATATTCTCCCCAGAAGCTATTGCTTCTATACAAAAAACCTTTCATACCCAAATGTCTCTTGTAACAAAGCGAAGTACTTAGCTGACCAACGACATAAACTGCATGAGAATTTCGCTGGAGCCTCACTTCGAGGTTAACAAGGCATTTACAAACAATACCACACCTTTCCCACTGTTGTGTGTTGTCACATCGCGACAAATGCACACAACGACTTTGTTGGTGTTGCTAGTATACAGCAACAAACCAAACAGTTCAACCGTGCCTGCGTCTACAACTTCAGTAGTGTTGGCGGTTTATTTGGGATACCATTTGTATTTTGTTTTTGCAAAATAGTCAGGCTGAATCCCAGTTTGTTGTTTTTATAAAAAAACAACTATTTATTAGTGGGGAATGTATGGCATTGTTTGCCGAGGGGTAAGGCAGGGAAGACTATAGTTTCGGATCACGCCACTGATCCTCATCAGTTCCCTTAGTTTTTTGTTGGGATATTCTCCCCAGAAGCTATTGCTTCTATACAAAAAACCTTTCATACCCAAATGTCTCTTGTAACAAAGCGAAGTACT